GCGGCACTCCCAGCACTTGGCACAGTGACATCGGCTGAATGAATGAAGGGTGAGCCCTCACGGCAATGGAGGTGTGATCAGACCATGCCTGTCCTGGCGATAGGGTGAAAGCAACAGCACATAAGGTGAGAGATAAGGGGGAGTGGCCTGAATGCCAAACGAAGAGTTTGGATGTGGTGCTAAAGGTAAGGGAAAGCGTGGAGGGTTTGGAGCGGGAGATTGAGCTGATCCAACCTCTGTTTGGAGGGCAGAGGCTGTGGTTTCTGTTTGAGAAAAGGTGCAGCACCAACCCCCTTCTTCCCCCACCCCTGGCCTCCTCCAGGAGCAGACTAAAAGCTGCCCAGAAACTGGTCAAACACTCGTTGGGGGCTGGCCAGAAACTACAGCCTGAGTGGGAGCAAGTAAGGCTTTTTTTTTTTTTTTAGTTTCCTGGGAGGCCTAGCCTTCCATTCTTTGTTCTGCGGCTGGCTCCCTTTCAGAAAAGCCTATGGGGCCCCCTGCTGCCCATTCCTGGAAGCACACTGGGGCTTTGGGGGAAGAAAATTAAAAGGAAAGCAAAGGCCCCCCACCCCGCTACCCCTACAGAGGGTGGTTTGCTGACTACTGTCTCCGAAATACCGACTCAGCCCATGACCCTCATGACTGGAATGTGCCCGACATTCTTTCCATCGCCACCTGTTGCTGCTAGCCTGACTCCCCGCTCCTTCTCCTGGGTCAGCTGAGCTCACCTCTCAGTGGAGAGGGGCTGGTGTCCCCGGCGTGCAGCGTCGTGTTCTGGGTGACTCCAGGTTTGGCCTGTGTAGTGGGCTGAATACTGTCCCTGAGAAATCATGTCCACTGAGAACCTCAGAATGTGAGCTCGCTTGGAAATAGGTTCTTGGCAGATGTAATTAGTTGAGAATCTCAAGACAAGATAATCCTGGATTTAGGGTGGGCAGGCCCCGAACCCAATGACTGTGTCTGTATGAGAGAAGGAAAAGGAGCTCAGAGACACACGGGGAAGACAGCGGTGTGAAGGAGGCCGACTGGGACTGATGCGATTACAAAACAAGGAACGCGGAATTGCCGGCTGGCAGCCCCCAGAAGCCAGGATCGAGAGACCTGGAGCAGATCCTCCCTCAGAGCCTCCGGAAAGTACCCTTGATCGTGGACAGCTGGCCTCCTGAACTGTGAGACAATACATTTCTGCTGTTTTAGCCACCTGCTTTGTGGGAGTTTGTTACAGCAGTCCTAGAAAACTCACACGGCCTGTTCCAGGATCTACAAGAAGACCCGTGGGGTGGGGACATGGCGGGGGGGGGGGGACTGGGAGACCCCAGAAAGCATGAAGGGCCTAGGCTTATTCTTAGAGCAGCGGAGCCATCGGAGGCTCAAGGAGACACTTGGGTGCAGCTTATGTTGTTAGAAGTCACTGCAAAGAGGGCGGGCCAGGGAGGCCAGGGGGCAGCCACCCAGGTGAGGAATGGTGCCCACAGGGGAGGCAGACCAACAGGGATGAATTGGGGGTACATTCTAGAAAGAAAGCCGATTGGACTAGCCAACTGATAGGATGCGAGGAGGTAGAAAAGCAAGAATCAGCATCTCCCAGACATTTAGCTTGAGCGCTGGGTGGGAGGTGAGGTGCCCCATGATGGGGAAGGTTCTAGAGGTTCCTGCTCCGAGGATGAGGACAGGAATGAGGAGACTGGAGCCCAGTTCTTGGGATCCGAAATATCAATGGCGCAGGAAGTAGCTCATTGTGGTTTTGATTTGCATTTCTCTAATGACTAATGATGTTGAGCGTCTTTTCATGTGCTTACTGCCATTTATATGTCTGGAGAAATGTCTATTCAAGTCCTTTGCCTATTTTTTAAGTGGGTTGTTTGTCTTTTAGCTGTTGAGTTGTAAGAGTTCGCTCCTTATACCAATTGTGAAACACAGAAACTAAAGCTCGGACAGATTAAGTGACTTGCCCAAGGTCTTGGGAGCCAGGCAAGGACTCGGATCTCTACTTCCTCACTCCACTTCCCACCTCAGCTGCAATTAGATTATTTTTGTGGCTGGAGCTGTTGTCTTGTGCTGACCTGTGGATGCCTCAGGAAAGCGATTAGGAAGGAAAAGATGAGGCAGAACAAAGGGGGACCCCTCTTCTGAAAGGACTTCCCAAGGACAAGAGTCCTGGGAAATGCCTTGTCCTGGAAGGGGCCGAATGTTCTGGAAGCTGATTCCCAAGTAGGCTGCTCTGCTTGTGTTGAGTGTGAGCATGCATATGCGTGAGGCGTGCACCTGTGCGCATGTCTGCAAATGCCACAGCTTCCAGGGCCGTCACACCATCCGTGTCCCCTCTGTCCTCCTGTGGCACCCACTGGCCACTGCTGGGAAGAGACTGCAGGAAGAATGGCCAGGCAGGGCTGCCACCTGCTGGTCATGTTGGGCGCTGCAAGCAGACTGTCAAGCAGGCTGGGAGCCTGGCCTCCTGGATCAGATGCCCAGAGTGGCAGCCTTTACAGCCCCTAGCAGGACCCTTTCCTCTGGCTGGGAGACATTTGAATTCTTTCTTTAGAATCTTCTCTTTCCTCTTCTAAATTCTAGATATTGTGAGGAAATAAGGTTTTTTGGGGAGTGGGGATAGGTAGTAACATTTTTCCTCCCTTTCTCCTTTCCTTGACGATATTTAATGAGCACCTACTATGTGCCAGGCATTTTTCTAGGCGCTGGGACTAGAAGTAGTGAACACAGTAGTCAAAGGCCCTTCCTTCTGGGATATTTTAGTCTATGGAGGGAGACAGATGAAATACATTAGTAAAAGTCACCGTAAGTTCAAAGGTGATCACTGCTATTGGAGATGGGTACGGGAGGCAGGGAGTGCCGGGGGTGGCCTCACTGAGCTGGTGACATTTGAGCACACATGAAGTAGGCGAGGAGGGAGTCCCATGCCTGTGCAGGGAAGAGCGTCCAGTAGGGGGAACAGCCAGAGCAAAGCGCTGAGGAAGGCAGAGCTGGGAGAGGGACAAGCAGCCTGGGGATGAGGGCAGCGGGGTCAGAGGGCCAGGTGGTGCAGGCCTTGGGGCCACTGGAAAGACCGAGCTGGGAGACAGTGACGGGTTTGAGCGGAGGAGGACATGGTCCTAGTGCGGCTCTGAGGACACAGTGGGTCGGGGTGAGGGAGCAGTGGAATAGGGATGGCTCTGCTGGGGAGGAGTTGGGGCGCGTGGAGGCCCGGAGAAGTGGATGGATCCAGGACCTGGTTTGAAGGACTTCCTGTTGGATGGATGGAGACTGTGAGAGACGGAGCTGCCAAACTGGACACGGGGAAAGTGTGTTTGCTGTGGCCGCTGAAACAAATACCACAAACTGGGGGGGGGGGCGTAAAGCAACAGAAATCTATTTTCTCCTAGTTCTGGAGGCCTGAAGTCTGAAGCCAAGGTGTTATGAGGGGAACTGTGTCCCTCCAAAAATGCATATGTCGAAGTTCTAACCCCAGCACCTCAGAACGTGACCGTATTTGGAGATGGGGCCTTTAAAAAGGTGACTGAGTTAAAATGAGGCCATCAGGGTGGGTCCGCATCCAATCAGACCGGTGGCCTTATAAGAAGAGGAGATTTTGGACACAGACACACAGAGGGACGACCATGTGAGGACACAGGGAGAAGACAAGCTGTGTACACACCAAGGAGAGCAGTCTCAGAAGAAACTAACCCTGCCGACACCTTGACCTCAGACTTCCAGCCTCCAGATTTACGGGAAAATAAATTTCTGTTGTTTAATCCACGAGGTCTGTGGTGCTTTGCTATGGCAGCCTGAGCAAACTAATACAGGCATACGCCAGAGACCTTTCAGGCATGGTTCCAGATACAATAAAGTGCAACGTTTGTGAAACATAGAAGAGCAAAGCCCAAGGGCCGGCCGAGTGGCTCAGTAGGTTGAGAGCTCGCTCAAGAGTTTGAGCTCTGAGCAACAGCGGTTTGAGTCCCGGCCCGAGCTGAGCAGCTGCTGAGCTGCCAACAGGTAGCAGGATGGCTCAGCTAAAAAAAAAAAAGCAAAGCCTAATAAAACAAGGTCGGTCTTTATAGAAGAATCTGTCCCATGCGTCTTCCAGCTTCTGGTAGCTGCCAGCTGACCACTGAGCAGGGAACCAGAGGAAAGGTACACGTGATAGCATCCGTGCCCACGTGCCAGCGATGCTCAAGTCCCAGAAAGTTCCCTTAAATGGCTTTGCACATTCAAAGTGGGGGTTCCCCAAGTGGCACAGGGTGAGGGCAGGGTCCATTCCCACCCGTGTCCAGCTTGGGGCACACCTGCCGGGTGCTGGGCGGTGGGGGTGGCAGGAGAGCAGAGGCAATGAAAAAAAAAAACCCCTCAAACCTCTTGCAGAAGAAAAATAGCTTAAGGGTGCAGACCCAGAGGTTTACAACTCAGTGTGGTCCTCAGACCAGTAGCGTCAGCAGCATCTGGAATCTCATTTTGAAATATAGAATTACAGACCCTACTCCAGACGTCCTGAATATGTCATTGAACAAGACCTCCCATGATTTTCATGTACGTCAAGTTCGAGTGCCCTGCTGCAGACCAGGGGTTCTCACAGTTGACATTGCATCGGAACCTTCAGGGCTTGTGGAAACATACATGGTGGCTGCCCCAATACTCAGGTGCTGATTTAAGTGTCGGGGAGACCCAAGGATCTGCATTTTCAACAAGTGCCCAGGTGTGGCCAACATTCCCACTCTGATCTAGAGTTGGCCCAGGGTGTCAGACTTGGCTGCATATGGGTCAGCGGGGGACACTTGGACCCACCTCCAAGAGACCCTCATCAGACCCTCATCAGAGGCTGATCAGTCTGCGATGCAGCTCGGGCAGCAGTTTGAGAACCACTGTTCCAAACCCCTGGACAGGGCCCAAGGCTCCAGACAGCAGCTCTATCCAGTTCACTTCGCCAGGGAACATGCCAGGGATGTCCTGATGCAGCCAAGAACCGTCCAAACTTCTGTGCACAGAAAAGAAAGAGCCTCGGGCCACCGGCATAGGCTTGGCTATACTCAGAGCACACAAGCTTTATTTAGCAATTATGATAGTACTATGTCATGAAAATGAGTTGCATGACTGTGGGTATACTGTTTTCTGCACAAAGTCTGAGAGCAATTGATTACAGCAACAGAACTCTGCCCCCATGGCCCTGCCCTCCACCAAACAGGCCCAGGTTGCTCCCAGCACCCCTGAACAGTTGGATGGGGACCTAATGGTGGTCTCCCCTGCACCCAGAAACTGCTCTCTCTACCTGCTCTGCCTGTCCCAGCCACTGGGCCGGAGCGGGTAAGAGTGGGCTTGGTTCCCCTGCCAGCCTCTATCTAGTCCTGCCTCTTGCTTCTCAAGCCACTCCCCACCCCCAGGTGAAGCTGGGTCCCCTTTCAGGGAACCCATGCCCCACTGGCTCTACTCCTCTTCTGCTTCAAGGCCTTTTCCTCAATGGAAGTTAACATGGTCTCAATAAAAATGCTATTTCTAAAGCACTTTGTACTTACAAAGTATTAGCCCCACCTGCACCCAGCCCCCAGCAAGCAGGCAGGGAACAAGGTGTCTTTAGAATGGGACCAGGTAGCCACAGGGACAGCACAAAAAGGAAGGGGCCAGGCCCAGGAGCTATTGGGGTCAAGTGGAGGTCAGATTTCATCTGAGTTCTAATTCAGGGTACGTCCCAGCAGCCTACTGAACTGATACAGAGGAAATCATCTGAGATGTCTGTATGACACGTGTGTGTGTGCATGCCCGCGTGTCTCTGTGCGTGACCTTTCATGTTGTGTCCTCAGCCGTTTTTGACCTTCCTCCTAGCTCTCTGACCTTGGCACGGCTGCCTGGGGAAGGAAAGCTCAAATCCCAGATGGACAGCAGACCTGCCAGCCTGGGAGGATTGGGCGAGGGGCAGCCAGGCACACCTCTCCAGAGGAGGCCGCATCGCATACCGACTCCTGCTTGGGGCCTCTTCAAAGGCAAGGGGAAGGCCGGGGTTGACTGAGAGGTGCTCACAGCAGCGGTTAGACTGTACAGGTGGACAGATGGCCAGGGGGAGTGGTGTGTGACTGAGAGGGGCTTGTGTCAGCAGCTGGACTGTACAGATGGATGGCTGGCCAGGGCAGATGGCCCCACACTCGTGAACCCCTCCTGCTGGGTGGCGCGCACCACCCCGCCCAAAGCATCAAATCGGCAGTTCGTTAAAGCTGACGTGGGTTGAGGGCGCGCTCACACCGTGTACGTTTTGACAGGCTTGTAGAGGTGTGGCAGCAGCCCGTGGTTCTCGCGGGCAACCTCTAGGTACTCAGATGGCGTCTCCAGCAAGAAGGGCCCACAGCACATCTGGCAGCAGCACTTGGCCCCCGTGGGTGGCTCCGGATTCTTGTCAGACATGGGGGAAAAGTCAAAATCAGCCACCTATGGTGAACAAAACCCCATGGATCAATCACCCGCCCGCCCGGTGGGAAGCCCCTTGCAGCGGCCTTACAAGCTCAGCGGCCTAGTGGCAGCGTGCACAGAAACACCTTTCTGGAGCCATACAGCACTTCACTGTGCCCTTGGCTAATCTCTCTGCGGGGCTCCCTCTTTCCACTGCCCTCTCCCATACCAGCTCATGGGCACAGCTTCCAGGCAAGGGCAGAGCACAGGACGTTAAGTCAGATGGGAAGAAGCCAACTCCACAATTTTGTCTCTTAGGCACATCTCGACCAGCCCCAGGGCCTTGTGCAGATATCCAGACCCCTTCCGAGCTCTCTGGCCTGGCCCTCATGCCTTCTCCCTAGACCCTCTCCATCCTTCTCCTCTCGGGGCCCAGTGGTCCAGCGCCCACCCTCCTGAGCACTCACCTCCACCATGTCCTTCTGGTGAGCATTCCTCAGGCTGATGTACATGATCAACGCCAGGATCATGGTGATAAGCGTGGCACATGGGAAAGCAAAGACCGCCGGCTGCATGCCTGGGAGGGAGGGAGAGTGCGGTCACTGGCCTGGGTAGTGGGTGCTGAATGCCAGCTCTCAGGAGAAAAACAAAGTTTTTTCTTGGGTACTTGCATCCCAACTACACAACCCCAAAAGGCAAAGCCAGGATGTCACAAAAACCAAGTTGGCATGCGCAAGGGTTTTAAAATACGTCCACAAGTACTGATAGTAACTTTCAAGGGAGGCAGCTAAAGTCCCCACCCCCTGAGTGCAGACTGGACGTAGTGACTTGCTCCTAGTGAACAGCACATGACAGGGGTGACGGCATAGGACTTCTAAGTCTGGGCCATGAAGGCGTCACAGCTTCCTCCTCACTCTCTCTTGGGAGACTTGTGTTAGGGAAGGGAAACCATGCTGAGAGGACACCCAGGAAGCCCTGTGACCTCTGTCAAATCTTTCCCTTCTCTGGCAGCTCTGAGGTCACTCATTGATCCTGTTGCCAGGGAGCCGCACGGCGGAGGAAGAGCACAGGGTCTGGCGTTAGGCGGTCCTGGGTTCGAATCCTGCCTCTGACCAGGCTACCTGATGCTAATGCTAACCCGAGAGGCTGCCGTGGGGATGTGACAAGGTGAGGTGTGAACGTGCCAGGTGCACGGCAGGTGAGCAGCAAGTATGAGCTCCGTCTCACTCTCCTCTCACCCTCATCCTATGTTCCCTGCCTACAGACACCACCATATGTCATGAGGATCTGTTTCCCAAGAGAAGGCAGCCTTGTTACCTGGAGTACTGTCTTGTCCACAGAATTCCAGGGGATCCCAGGCACTCAGTGCCCAGGAGGTGATGGGGGAGGCAGGACCCAAGCTCCCCGAGCGTGCCCATAGGTCACAGAGTCAGCCTGGCCGAAGGTCAGCCACGGCCTAGAGTGGAGTGCAGCCTCTGCTCAAGGGCTCCGAGGGAGTGCGGAGACTGGCGGGGACAGTGACAGCATCTAGTGCACTTACAGGGCCAGCCCTGGGGACCCTTTTGTACTATACAGGTAGGTGGGACTTGGCCGGGCATCTGAAAGACCATCCCTTAGGGTTCTAGGATCCAGCTTTCTCCTCTATGTAAGGAAGCACTTTTCTGGGTCACAGAAGAGTCCCCCTGGAAATGAAGGGTAGGACCTAATGCCGTCATCAGCTAATCCTGTGACCGTAAGCCAGTGGCTGGGCCTGACGACGGCGTGGAGGTGGGTATTCCAGGGGAAAAGGTTGAGTGTCCTTAGGAATGAGAGAGACCGTGCACTTTCTGAGCAGCTCACACTCCCCGGAGACCCACAATAGCCATGTGAGGCTGGCAGTCATCATAGGGGTGCTAGTTTTAGTGGTGGCGACAGTGCTGTGATGGAGGCCAAGTGCTGGGGTGGGGGTGATGGGGGTAAAGGAGGGTACATTGCAATCATGGTGGCTCATTTCGTATGGGAGAGTTCATGTTGGAGACGTGTGTGGCAATGAGAGAACTGAAGTTGGAGTGATGCTGGGATGGCACGGCAGTGATGGCGTTGGTCCAAATGGTTGGCACGGGGTCTGATGGGAGGGGTGTTCATGTCAGTGCTGATGGCAGTCAGGGTGTCGCAATTAGATTACAGAGCTGTCTGCCGGCTCTGGATGGTGCTGGAAAAACTGTCAGTAGGGTGTGTGATGATGGTGGAAGCAGTGCTGGTCACGTTGGCTGATGGTGGCTGAGTTGCCTGCTGTTATTGTTTGTGGTGCTGGTGTTGGGAGAACTGATGGGTGCTAGAGCTGGTTGTTGATGGCACTGGTAGAATTTGGTGGGGGGAGGGTACGGGCAGTCAGTCAAGGGTGTTGGTTGGGGCCAGTAGGGTTATCGATGATTTCTAGTGTTGGAGGGGTGGGTTGTTGACGGCATCAGCAGAGTGGGCTGGTGGCGGTACACTGGTGGTGATGGCAGGGTTGACTGGTTTTTGCTGCCTAAGTGGCTCTGGAGCAGAAGGGGAGGTGTCACTTACTGGAGGGCCACACCTGGATCCTGTGGTACTGATGCGTCTTGCTGATGACATTCTCGGCCCGGATGCTGAAGCAGTAGTCCCCAGGGTCCCTGAAGACGTGGGTCAGGTTGTAAGCTGTGTCGGCCACGGACACTGGGTGACATTCCCCTTCCTCCAGCGGAAGGCACTCGTGCTTGAGACGCCAGCACACAGTCAGAGGTGGGCTGCACGGAAACGAGGGCGCTTTTTTTCAGAAATGGCTCAGCAAAGAGTGTGCACACAGACCAAGTCCAAGAAAGGCCAGGTGGCCATGAACTTCAGTGTCCTTTCCAGGACAGAACACCCAGCTGTCCCGGCCTCTGCTTCACACCTTCCACACCAGGGAACAGAATGGTACATAAGAGGTGGCCCCAGACCCTGAGGGGATCCCAGGTCAATGAGACAAACAGGGCATGCACAGACTGCTAGACGACACAGAATGAGTGCTCCAGTGACACATGTGGTGTGCTCTCTGGAGGAGGTGGCATTTGAGTAGGATCTGAAAGGGTAAGTAAGGCTTACCCTTTCAGTCTGAATGGAGCATTTTGCATTACCTGCCTGCCACAGCACAGGCTCAGAAGCTGGAAAACGCAGGTCCATCTAAGGAACACTGACCCAGAAGTTCCGTTTCACTCACCTTCCCAGGAAGTTCAAGGTCACTGCCATCTTTTGGAAGCTCTCAATTTGGGTAGGCCCCGAGACCTGGATGCCTTGAAGGGTTTCTGAAAGGCAGAGAGGACCCTGTTAGCCTGGTCGCTAAGGACAAATGTCTCAGGGCTCCTAGGGCCCAGGCTGTATGACCACCACCCTGCCCTCCTCAGCCCTCTCCCAGGGGTGGGTTGCAGATCTGTCCAGGGCGTGCCTGTGTCCTGCTTCTCCAGCAGCAGCCGGCATCAGAGCAGTGAGGAGGCTGGAGGAAGCAGGCAAGGAACCAGGACCAAGGGCTGCCCCCCCACCCCTGCCCCACTTCCCCACCATCTGTGCCGCGTGGGGAAAGGCCACCGCCGTTAGGGTGTGCCATAGCACAACAGAGAAATCTGCTGCAGCGCCCAAGCGCCCCCTCTCATCAAAGCCAGAGAGAGATGGGTTTCCATGCTCCCTCCCTGTACAGTAAATTGGGGCACATCCATTATGCCTCGTGCCCTTGACCAGAAGCCGATGTGGCCAGGGGAACAAGGAGCGCTCAACCTGAACCCACCCCCCAGAGACCCACCGTGCAGCTTCAGCGAGGCAGAGAAGTCACCCGTCTTCTGCGTGATGCCCTTCCCAGCATCCAGTGTGGCCTGTTCCCACTCAGCCACCACTTTGAGCTTCACAGTGACGTTTCCAATGGTCGGATAGTTATAATAGACCATTGGGTCTCCAGTCACCATCTGGGTGCTGTAAGGTGACAGGGAAGAAGTGACTCATGTGACTTGGTATAGTCAGGGGTGGTTATACAGTGACACGCCCAGCGATCAAGGCCTCAGGAGCAAATTTGTCACCACAACAGCAGCCCCCAGAGCCCGCCAGGTCTGCTGGGTTTGGATAAAGTGGCTACTTGTTATCTTTGTGCATGTAAGTTACAGGTGGGAGAACTTCCAGCAACAGGTACCTGTCACCTGCCAGGAGGTGGTCTGCTCCCCCAGCCGGGAACCTGGGAGAGGCCATGAGTTAGAGACAGGCACAATCTGGGGAGGGGAGAAGTATGAACTTTGGAGTTAAGATAAACCTGGCTTTGAACCTCAGCTCCAGGTTTCCTATCTCGTCTGTGAAACAGGGAGGGACATATCCCCATCACGGGTTGTGAAACAACATATAACGGTGTAAGTAACATCATGCTCTCTCCCTTCAATTACCTGAATCACTTTCTAAAAAGTCAAGTAGCAATTAAAAAAAAAACCTCTTTATGTTGATTTGTCAATGCTCTTTATATAGATGAAGTTTAACAAACCTTTATCCATTGGGTTGTCGGAAAAGTCATGACGCATTTTTGCGACGAAAAACATAGAAAAAATACGTCATGACTTTTCCAACAACCCAATATTATAAGTCTTCAACTACTTTCTCCCAGTTTAACCTTCATCTTTTGGTTTGGTTTACTTCATTCACACTCGAATTTTAAATCTGGTGATGCCAAATCTAGCAGTTTTTCCTTTATAGTTTTTGCCTCTGTTTTTATTCTTAGAAATGCCTTCCCCACTGTCAAATTATCCATTTGTATGTGTTTATCTACATTTCAATCTAATCCTGGTTCATTATGTTTGATTTTTTAATCTGTCTGGAGTTGCGTTTGTTTGGGTTCAAATTGTTTTTCTCCCAAACAGTTAACCAATGGCCCTACTACCGTTTATTAAATCATCTACCTCTACTCACTGGCTAAAAATACCACTGTTATCATATACTAGGTGTGTCCATAAACTTAGGTTGTTTCTGCCTTTCCTAGTCTGTTCCATGTTGAGCTGCCTTTTGTTGCTGCAAATTACCTGTAGCTTTAGAAACAGGTATGTATGTATGCGTTCCAGTTCCTCTCCCCATCCCCATTCATCATCATTCTGCTTTGTGATTTTTCCCCCCCTTCTTCCAATAGTGAGAAATTCCCTTTTCATCTTTTAAATCTTTTTGAGGTTCTCAGGACAATGTGTGGTTTTATTCATGTAAATCCTGCAATTTTAGGCTAAGTTTATTCTCTCGGTTTTTATGTTGTGTCACTAGTATAAAATAATTTTTTGATTGCCATTACATGGAAAGCTATGAATTTTGTAGCTTTTTTGGTAACCAGCTATATTACTAAAAACCTCTTTTTGGTTCTAGGATTTTTCAGTGAAGTCTTGTGTTTTCCAGGTAAATAGCATTGTTATCTGTGTGCAATGATGTCTTTTTCCTCCTCCTTTACAATACTTATATTTCATTTCTTGTTTTATTTAGGGAGGCCTGTTGGGCCAGCCCCCTTGCTTTGAGGCGAGACTTCTCTCTTTGCACAGACCCCCCAGTCTCCTAACAGCAGAGAATACTTCCTCTGCTCTCCAATGAGTTTGCATGTCTAAAATTGTCACCCAAATCCTTTTATCTTTAGAGGAGCAAGTCCTCGGGCTCTTGAAGAAGCCCAGCCCAAGAGCAGCATGTCCCTCCCAAGCTGTATCTCCATTCCACATTTTTCTGCCTTCCAAATCTTACCATTCCTTCAGACCACATGTTTCCTAGGCTTGCAGAGAGGACACCGGAACCCCAGTTTTCCAAGTTCATCAAAGGCTCACTAATCCTTCACATGCACCACTCGTCACCCCCATGGGACTTACAAGCTCACCTCCCCCCTCAGCCAGAAGCTTGAGGGGGTTCAAGTGGAGTGAGGGGTCTCCACTGAGCACTGCGCTTGCATGGACTTGGGGTGTCTGTGGGCTACCTAGGTTCAGTGCTTGACTCACACTTGCCTCCAGTAGCCTGGCTTGTGTGGAGAGGAGTAAGAAGACATGAAGCCAGAACAGGTCTTCAGCAACAAAAGGAGAAAAGTCCTTCCGACCTTGAACTTCCTTAAAGGGCTGTTTGGGGTACCAATGACCTTCTCTACTAGATTGCAGGCACCTCAAAGGTAGGTCCTGTGACTGGCTCCCCCTGGTGCCCACACAGCCCAATCTCGGCACAGAGCAGGTGCTCAAGGAATGTTTGGAGTGAGAGTGTGCAGGTGAAGGTGGGACAGTACAGGGCACCCTGCATGGGACAACAGGGCCACCACCATGGGCTGAGGCTTTGGGCATCGAGGTGGGGAAGGACATACCCGTCTCCGAAGTCCCAGCTGTAGAGAAATGAGGCAGTCTTGAAGAAGTTGTTCGGGTCATGGAGGAGAAAGGAAATGTTAAGGACTGTCTTGGCAAGATAGGAGCCGGGCCAGGGCAGGGACGTGTTCTGGGTGACAATGAGGTTCCCCACGAGGAGCTCTGGGAGAGAGAAACCAAGGGAGGGTGAGTCCACGGAGGTGGCAAGAGGGCGGAGCCAGCGAGTGACCTGCCGTGCCTGCGGGCAAAGCAGCCTCTGCCCCACCTGTCCTTCCTGACTGTCAGAGCTGGGTGGTGGCAAGAGGGGACCCTCCCCCAAGTCATCGCCCCTGCTATGTGGGCACCGTTGAGGGATCACAGCAGGTGTGACGTACATAGCTTCACTCCTGCACGCCTTTTGCCAGGACCTAAGCTGGCTGGCACAAAAGGTGCCCAGGAGCAGAAGAAATGCACAGTCTTTGAAAGTAACTTTTGGGAAATATTTCAAAGTATTAGATGAGCCTTAAAAAATTAGCAGTTCTACTGATCACATCTCCATACCCAGTGATCTGGGCTGAGTGAAGACCTCTGTTCTGTGTCTTCTCTAAAAAAAAAAAAAAATTTAAGAGCTGATGATGAGTGGGGGTGGCGGTTTACTTCCTGAAGATAAATTCTTTAAGAGACTGTGAACTCCAAGAGAGCAAGGACCTCTTGAAAGGAGGGAAGTTGAGGGGGAAAGAGAGTGAGAACAAATGGGCCAAAGAGTAAAATAATTCATAACCATTGATACATATTGATCAGGTGCTTTCCAAGGGGCTGTATTACTTTATATCCCCAGTAGCAATACATACTTTAAGTGTTCATTTCAGCATAACACTGCCAGCAGTGGGTATTACCATTTTCTGATCTTTTGTTAACTCAACTGGCAACAGAGAAGGAACCAGGGGTCTAATTTGCATTTCTGTGATTATTAGCCAGGCTGGATGTTCTTCTCTGCACCAAGAGTCCAAAGACAAATTAGCAAACAGGACGGGGCCTCACCTGTGATGGAGAGGACGACAAGGCTCCTTGCCACAGGCTGGCACATCCAGCAGTTGGCGGCGGTGACCCAGACAGAGACGGGGAAGTCCCCGGGCTCGATCCCCACAGCGCGGATGGTGGAGCTGAACGCCTCGTCCTTCTTCCCCGTGAGCAGCAGTGGGGTATGGATCCAGTGGAAGCGGTAGAAGTGAATGTTGGTGGGCAGGACCAGGCTGCCGTTGTCACTGGCCACCAGGCGAGCCGTGACGGTCACCTCTGCCCCCGTGGTAGCCGGGCTATCGGTGGTGAGGTGGAGTTCATATAGGCCTAGAAGCCCAGAAACAAAAACTGGGTTTTAGGAGGGGACATGGCAAGGCACCCTACTGCCACCCTCTGGGCTGGCTTCTATTCTGTTTTGCTGGTGGAGAAACGGAGGCCCAGGCAGCTCAAGTGACTTGCCCAGGAAGCCCACAGCTAGTTCATTGTCAAGCTGGGATTCAAACCTGGGCCAGACTGACTCCAAATCACACGTTCTTTCCAGTGTCCCCATTTTATATTACAGAGCATGTGTATGACATGGGCCTGACCTGGCCAGATTTATATCTTAGCGATGCAAATGGCTGCTGTGCATGTCTCAGGAGGAACCACTGCAGCTGCTGCCAAGAAATACCCACTATTACCTGCTCTTTTGCACTGGCTGACGTGGCACACAAAATTCCAATTTGAAACACAAAGCTGGGTCTGAACCCTGTGGGAGGCCTGGCACCCTGACAGTGGAGAACCAGCCTTGAGAAGAAGGTCCACTCTGACTTGAGCCAAGCCCCTCCTCTATTGGCCTGGGTTTCTAAATCTACCAAGTGAGAGGTTCTAGATCAGCGCTGCCCAACACGGTAGCGGTAGCCACTAGCCACGTGTGGCTAATGAAGTCTTCATTAAAATGAAACAAAACATCAAACCTACTTTCTCATTTCAAGGGCTCAATAGCCACTTGTGACTAAGGGTCACCATTTTGGACGATGCGGATACAGAATATCTTTCTTCTCACTGGAAGCCCCATTGGCTGCACTGCACTGCTCTAAGTGACCAGGGTTTCTGCCAGGGCCAACACTGGAAATGTGTGATTCCAACTGGGTCGACTCCTTGGGAACTTGAGCTGAAATACGGGGGATGCAGCTCTTACAGGAAACCCCAGGATTAGTCTTGCAGGCAGAGAATGAGGTCTTCAGCATGTGGAATGGGGGCCAGGGAAGAGGACTTCTACATGACACTTCCCTCCCGACCACCACACTGAAGATAAGATTAATTGTACCTGAAAATAGAGTATGAGTATAGAATAAAAAATTAAGATATTTTATTTAAAAAGTAGAATAATCAGTAGCAACCCTTATTACCATATTTGGGCATTTCCTACTTTTTTGTTTTGTTTTTAAATCATGCTCTTACTCTGAGATTATATATTCTATTGTTTATTTCCCAATTCTGTATCATAGGCATTTTCTAAGTCATTATTCTTCAATTGCGTTAGGTAGTTCCACAATGTTTTATCATATAAACAAGGTAAGATTCTAAAACTAAGGCTTGCTTTCATCATAAAAGTAATACATATATATATAAAGACTATTAGAAATGTCCTATTATCCTGCCTCCCAAAGACAGCAGTTGCTATCATGTTGCTGTCCTCATGTCTTTTTCATGCATAAAAGTTTTTAATTTAGTCATAATCACACTGCACACAATTTTGAACTATTTTATTTTCACATGACAACACATCAAAAGCATGTCCATGGTCACACTGATATGAATTTCAATATTTGCAGGACAATCCCTCAAGCAGGTATATCTTCATTCGCAGCACCCTCCACTCTTGTCAATACCACTGCTGCACAGCTTGGTGACTCTTTTCCTGTCATTTGTATAATTTTCCTCTGCAGGTGAGATTTCTGAAGGGCTCCAGGTTAAAGGGTGTCCAGCCTGCTGCAGTGCACACCTGGGCAGAAGAGGTGAGGCAGGCGGAAGGGGGCACAGGGGTTGCCAGCCCCACTTGCTCATTTCACTCCGTCCCACCCATCTTCCAGGTCACAGGCACCCCCTCCCGTGGCTTCAAGTGCCTCCTAAATGCTGATGGAGCCCAGTAATGCAGACCTACTTTCTGGGCTCCAGACCCACACCGAGCAGTACAGTAGCTTCTAACCACATGCAATTAAGTTTAAATTAACCAAAGTTAATTACTCAAAATTAACTAATACTAAATATTCAGTTCCTCAGTTGCATTAGCTGCATTTCAAGTGCTCGATAGCCACAGGTGGTTAGCAGCTACTCTTCTGGGCAGCACAGACCCAGGACACTTCCTGCATCACGCAGAGTTCTGCTGGACGGTACTGTTCTAGACCCTCTGGACTCCTCCCCAGACCGACCATTTCCTTCACCTAGCACTCTGTGTTGGGGCTAGTGGAGGCAGCGGTCCCCAGCATCCATCCCCGGGCCTCTGCCACTTTCACTCCCCCTTCGTGGGCAGGCGCGCCTCCTCTCCATCACTACCAACACTGCTTAGGCCAGCATTCAGTCCTATCTGGATGACTGCTACTGACCCTAGGCTTCTAGTCCTGTACTACTCTCAGCCACCCCCAATGACCAACTTCCTGCACAGGTAATCTGATCATGAGCAAGTCTCAGGGTGAAGTCCAGATTCACTTCTTGGCACATCCATGCTGTTGCCGGCCACTTTAGCTCTTGCAGTTCCCCACAACGTGCTCTGTCCTTCCTAGCCTCAGGGCCTTTACACATGCTGTCCCCATTGCCCTTCTCCACCTATCTGACCATGGATATAATCTCTTCCAGGAAGGATTCCCTGAACCCTTTGTCTCCTTGGTGCTCTCCCAACAGCCTGAGCACACAGTTGTCACAACCCCATGTCTGGATGATGGTTTCCTAGTCTTCCCCACCGCACTGCAAGCTCCTTGAGGAAAGGGAGAATCTCCGTCTCCCCTCTGCCTAGCAAAATACTCGGCACATAATATGTGTTCAACATTGCTGCTGAGTGGCATCTGGATAGAAGGGTGCGGCAGAGGGACCAGCCCACCTGGCAATGCCCCAGGAGACTGTTCCCCCAGCTGGTACTAACTGAGCCCTGTCCCTGGGCCCCACCCCACAGGTGCTGAGGAGGCCAGAAGTGCAGGACATACCTCCTGACCTCAGGGAGCTCACAAGACACCTGTTGGACTCAGCAAAACTGTGAGGTGAGTGAGTGTGTCCTAAGCTGTGCCCCATTCGCCTGTGGCAATGCTGCCTGTCCCCACTGCCCCAGCCTTTCCCCTCACCCATATCCCAAACAGAGAATTCCAGAGGCTGTGGCACGAGCTTCCCCAGGAAGATAGGGTATGTATTTTACATTGAGCCCCCTAGGATCACGCTACTGCCTGGGGCCACAGAGCAGATCTGCAACACTCAGGCTGAGTTCCATTCTATCTCCCTCTGGCTGGGAGGCAAGTTAGCATTTGGCCTGGCCACGCAGGAAGAGGTGCTCAGATAAGAGGCCAACCCCTCCCTTCTCCCTCTGCTCCTGCCCACCCCCGGTTGAGGAGCGTGGGCCAGAGTGAGGCTGGCAGGTGGCAGGGACATTGGGCTGGCTGCGTGCTAATGGCTATCCAGCATCTGCAGCGAGACGGGCGCATGGCAGGGCGCATGTCAGCACGACGCAGATCCGTTGCCAGGGGAATGGAATCGGGAGGGCAGCAGACTCCGCTGCGAGGAAGGAGGAGTGGGGGGAGGGGCTGTGGCTACAGCAGACGTTGCGGCAGATGCTGGCAGATGCTGGCGCAGTTCCTGGGAGACCCTACCTGTCCAGACACAGGAAACCTCCAAGGGTACTTTTTTGCAAGCTTTCTTTTTAAGCAGATGTTTCACAGCTCCTGGATGATGCTATCCCTCTTCCTCGGGGCTCTGGGAAGTGTCCAGGACATCCAGGCTGAAATGGACCACGGAAGCTTTGCCACGTGTAGATGAAGGGACCGAGCCCAGCTCCTGTTAACCTACCCATCCAAAGCCATCTTTCCAAGTTTAGGAGCCCAGGTGACTCGGCCTTAGAGTACAGAGCAGCCAAGACAGGTGCCCAGAGAGACTCAGGGCTGAAAGGGCCAAAGCAAAACGCAAAGAGGCAACTGCTGCAAAGCTTGACCCCCCAGGAGCAATACCCACCAGCAGGCTCCAGGGCTTCCACTTGGAGCACACACATTTTCCCTGACAACCCAGCACATGAGGCCCTGAACATTCTAGAAAATGGCTACATCAGCCTTTTTGCACTGCACATGTAGACAACCCAAAAAACGTCCCAAGGAACCTCTGACGCCTGGATAACACAACCTGGAATTAATTAATGGTCCAGGACACAGAACTCTGGCTTCACCCCCTAGTGTAGGAAGTGCACCATGTGGCCTGACCCAGATCCCACGAAGGGTGAAAAGGGCATCTGAGCCTTTCTTTGTGTCCTGTGGGCTTTCCCCAACCCCATTCCCTGCTATTTGACCATATCCTGGGTGCAACAGGCCAGGCTGAGAACCACACATGACTTTCAAATAATTCATTCTTTTTTTTGGGGGGGGGGTAATTTAGGCCACATTGATCATTTCTGGATACATGTAACCTAATAAACAAGAAACCCCATTTCTATATGAATTTCTAAGGAGAAGCAGGTAATCCTGACCAAGCACAAGTCCCACAAAATTCTCTGATTTCATCCCTGAAACGCAGTTTTTTATTTTATCTTGTGACTTTTATTTCACAAAATTGCCTTAGATCACTTCCTCTCTCTCCCAGTCTTTTAAGGTGAATAATAAAAAAATGTTGGATAATAGTTAACACCCCCCATAGCTGCTCACGTCTCAAATGTCCCCCAACAACGCTCCAATCTGGGTTCTTTTTTGACGCCAAAATGAAGCAGAAGAGTTGGTGCTGGCCTTCCGGCGGTGGGGAGGGTGGGAGCGCGATGGGGGACACGGGGTGGGACCCGCGAAACCTGCTCGGGGTCCATTTTGGAAATCATTCCCAGAGAGGAAATGGCAGACTGGCCTCCTGGGCCCTAAAATTGCATCCTCCCCTCAGCCAACACCAACAGGGTGGAAAGGTTCTTCAGATACGGCGACATTTTAAGGCAAAACCTGCTGCTCTGCGGGCAACGTGCCCGCGCTCCCTGGGGGGGCTATGGCGTGATGATGGACCCAGCACATTTTCGATCTCCCCGTATTGTCCACCCCCTCCCCCAACGGCTGCGAGTTCCCCAAATATTGGGATGGATGCGCGAGCCACTGCGCGCGATTCCCAGGGCAGGGCTGATCTGGGGGGTGGTAGCAGGAATCGAGGGGCGCAGACAATCCCCTCAAGTGGCGAAGCGACTTCTGGGGAGAGCAGTGAAGGGAGAGAGGAGAGGGCTTCTCGGCGCCCAGCTGGCTCTGTCCCCTCCGCAGAGCGGTGCAGGGACTCCGGGGAGGAGAAAGGTGCGCGCAGGGCGCACGATGCCAGCTCCGCAACCCCGGCTCCTGGCGAGGCCCCTGGGCGCGCCATGGCTTGGGGAGGGCGGGCGGCCGGCCCATGCAGCGCCTTACCTGCGGCCACCCCAGCCGGGGCCAAGGGCAGGAGGCAGGCGAGCCAGAGGATGCGGCTGACGCACGGCCAGAGGGCCGGGACCATGGTGGCTCCGGGAGTGGCAGGAGCCCGAGAGGACGTGGCTCGACTCGGCGGCGCCGGCCGCTCCTCCGCACGCGAGGCGCGGGCTGTGCGGAGAGCTGCGGGCGCGGCGCTCCCTCGTCCTCACTTCAGGACGTGGTGTCGCTGCGCACCCGCCGCCTCCTACAGCCCGCAGCGCCGACCCCGGCCCACGTCAGCCTCTCTGCCTCCCCTCCCTGCGTTCCCTCCCGCGTCCCTCCGTCGCCTCGCTGCACCCTCCTCTCCCCCACAATCTTCCCCTCCCCTCCCCAAGATCCTCCCCTCCCGACCATTTCCTTCACCTAGCACTCTGTGTTGGGGCTAGTGGAGGCAGCGGTCCCCAGCATCCATCCCCGGGCCTCTGCCACTTTCACTCCCCCTTCGTGGGCAGGCGCGCCTCCTCTCCATCACTACCAACACTGCTTAGGCCAGCATTCAGTCCTATCTGGATGACTGNCCCCCCCTCCCCTCCTCGGTGACCGCCGGCTCTGACTCATCGTCCCCAGCGGTGCCTGCAGCGCTGCAAAGCCGCAAGCAGACCCCTTAGGGTTCTTCTCCAGGTGAGTTTTTCTGCTTGTGTCGCACAGGGCTTGAAGATGCGGCTCTTCATTCAAGAAACATTGAACGCCTGCTGTGGGCCAGGCGCTGGACGAGGGGCCTGGAAACGCCTCATGTCCCTCCTGAGAGAGGGGCTTGAGCACAGGAGCCCTGCGCTGGCACTGATGTCATTCCTCAGTTTACCCTCACTGCGCCTGCTGTAAAATGGGGCTGATGCTCATGCCTGGGCCCACGGCGACGTCGCTGTCACTGAGGGCCTTGCAAGACTCAGACAATCGTGATGAAGAGTGACCAGGTGGCTCCTAGGACGCTCCTGGGCCTAAGCAGGCATTTCCATCTGCCACAACAGAGCAGAGTGTGTCTTTCCTCCTAGAAGGTAGCCAGGCCTGACTGACCTTAAAGACTGGGCACCAGCAGCCTGAATCCTGGGCCCAGTTCTACCTATGATTTACTCTGTACCTGGGCAAGGGGACATGCCCAGAGGAAAGGTGTTGTATGGCTCCTCCGGCCTGGCAGGCCATGCTGGACCCTGATTGCATGACCCACTGTCTGGGAGTTAAGGGAGCTAAAAGCATGGCCCCTCGCTCCCACACAGCTGTGGGCTCTGCCATCTGTCTCACTGTAATGCAGGTGGGAATAGATCTGAGCGAGCCCCCTTAGGAAAGGTAAAAATGCTAGACAGATGTCACACCCCAGTTGCATCAGTCATCATCATGGGGACATAAGAACCAGAAGGCCTAGCAACCAGAAGACTGGATTTTCCCTGAGAGTTCTATGACCTTGGGAAAGTCACTTTCCTCTCCGTGCCCCAGTTCCTTTTTCTTTAAAATGGAATAATAATAGTCTCTACCCCAAGAGATGGGTAGTCATAAGGATCAATGAGTGCTTTGGACATAGGAAGCTCTCAATCGTGTTGGCTATCATTAGAATTGCTTAAGGACTTGGGGGGCGTTTGTTCCTCAAGAATTAAGAAGAAAATTATGCTTGAGCAACAAATAATACATTAAGGTTACAAATTGAGCTTCAAATATTTAACTCTTTACGATTATTCAAAGGTCTGGTTGTTAGTGGTTTTTAAAATGTACTAAACGCATAAAAAGAATAAAAAGTTTATTAATTTTTCAATGTGTAACTTTATCACATTGAACAATAATTTTACAGTAGCCACAGACTGATCTGTGTCACAGAAGCCACCCTGAAATTGATGTCGATGTGACCCCTCTTTGCCTAATTCCTGTCTGTTGGCCAGGATTCCCCACAGGCACCCCTGACCCCAGAACCCTGCCCTCCTCCGGGCTGTCACAGCACCTGTCGGGATGTTAATTCTTGTCACTGGAAATCTTTCTAAAGCAGATCAGTGAGTCTGTTGGTCCTAGCAAGGTGGTATAACGAAACCTCCCTTTGGTAACAGATGTGCAGCAGCCCTGGGGTTAATATTCCTATCACAAATCCTCATTGTCCTGCACTGGAAATGTAACTGTGGGATGTGGGGGCCACTGAACTGATAACAATCACACCCAGATCAGGTCCCAGAGAGGCTATGGGATGACATCCTATGGTAGCCGGGAAGGGTCAAAATGGAGCTCAGCGTGATTCCTTTGTTGAACTTACCATGGGCTCCAGGCCCGGGTCTCGGTGTGCCAGGGCAGCTGGAGTTTTTAGACCTCAGGACACCCAGTCACCCTGTTGAAATTCATGAGAGACCCAGGGAAGATAAGATGCTGGGTTATTAATTTATCACAGGAAAGGTTCTTGACAGGGGTGGAACCCTTAGGGCCAGTCTCCCAGAAGCCCAAAGGTGAGCAGGGACTCCAGCATACCACGGGACAGTGGAGAGGGGATGGCCTCTTGGTGGCTCTCAGAAGGTCAGGCTGAGGCCCAGGGCCCTGACCCAATCTATGCAGAGACCACCTGTGCAGACTGCTCATGCCCACCAGAGGGATATTTGGGGGCACGCCGTATCTTTTAGTGTTCCAGCTGACCCTGCCCTATGGGTTCATACAGTATTATTCCAAACAGGGTACAAATTTACACATATGTTCATGGACTGAATTGTGTCCCTTGAGAAATTCATACATTGAAGCCCCAGCCCCTAAAGTGACTATATTTGGAGATAGAGCTTTTAAAGAGGTAATTAAGGTTACATAAGGTCATAAGGGTGGGCCCTAATCCAATAGGACTGGTGTCCTTATAAGAAGAGGAACGCTGTCTCTTCGAGAGCACGAAGAACAGGTCATGTGAGCACACTGTGAGATGATGGCCATCTACAAGGCAAGAGAAGAGGCCTCCGGGTGAAGCCTACCTTAGCGGCACCTTCATCTTGGACTTCCAGCCTCCAGAGCAGTGAGAAATAAACTTCTGCTGTTTAAGCCTCCCAGTCTGTGGTACTTTGTTATGACAGCTTGAGCTGACTGAGACAATACCCAATGGGCAATGGGAATACATTGGTAAAGAAAGACAGAAAGGGAGCTTACTGTCTAGGAGGGGAAACAGATGATAAGTGAGTAAATAAATAATTTCAGATTATGAGGTTATTGGGGAAAAATACAGTATTATGCCGGGGGGGGGCACAATGGTTTTCTTATATTGGGCCTTAAGGAAGGCCTTTCTGAGGAGGTGACATTTGAGTTGATCAAAGATGACAAGGAGCCAACTTTGCGCCTCTGAGAGAAAAACATTCCGGACAGGAGAATTAGCCGCACAGGTGGGCATGAGGCACGGCAAGGCCATTGTGGCTGGAACATGATGAATGGGGCTGGGAGGTTCACCGGGGCCAGGTCATGAACGTGAGTCTTTGGAGGGCTTTAAGCAGAGGAAGGGTGTGATCTAATCTACCTGCGAGGAATGACATTGACACTGTCCCCAACCTCTCATTCAGGAGATAGACAAGAAAATAGGTAAAAATCATAACAGCATGATGGGTATTTTGCCAGAAGCTATGACCACGAGGAAACGGAGGGATTTCACCCGTGTTAGGGCTAGGCCTAGCTGTAATTCTTTCTTGTGTGCCCTTAAAGTGAAACGTATCAAAGGATTTGTCTACCTGCTGCTTTTTTTCTTCCCCCTCCCCACCAACAATATTAAACAACCAGTCAGCACACTGGTTTCAGCCCAGATTTGTCAACCTTCCCCAACTTTGCACCTCCTACTTCTTGTTGGGGGGTTGGGGGTGGTGGATTTTGCTTGCAAGTGGGCCATTTCTCCAGTGTGGGAAGGGGTGTTCTGACCCACTGTATTTCTCCTGGGGCAGAAATAATTGGCACTAAATGCATCCACTCAGAATCCCAACACTTCATTGGAGGCTTGTTCTCGAGTGGCAACATGACACAAGCAAGGAGCCTTTTTCCCAACAGGGCACCTTTCCTCCAAGATATCTGCAGGTATTGAAAGCTCTATTTTTGCAAGGTGTGAAAAGTATCTCTGGGAAGGGAACACGAAGATTTTTGTGAGTTAGTGACGATGGGGAGCGCGGGTAGGAAACATCAGGAGAGGGCAGGAGGTGGAGCCAGGACCTGGAAGTGGTAGAGGTGGGTCAAGTCAGCACTTGCCAGCTCTGTCCAGCTAACATGGTAACCATGGGTTACCAGGAACAACTCACTATTCACCCCTTCCCATAGATAGAGTCTGTATGTGAGGCAATGACTGGGGTCTGGGATGGTTCAAAGGGCGCCTCCGTAGTCACAAGGCCAGAATCACCACATGCCGGGCAACAGCAGTAGGAGAAAATGCGGACGCTAAGGCCCGCCTCCTGATCAGAGCATGAAAGGGGCGGGTTAAGAGGAATTGGCGGAGCGTTACCTGCAGGCGCAGCCGCTCATTGCGTCCTGGGAGTTGTAGTAATCAGCACGGCATTGCTACCGGGAGGACTACATTTCCCAAAAAGCCTGCCCAGCCGTGCGCGCACCCGCCGGAAGGAGTCAGCTACGCGGGGTGCTGAGCGTCGAGGCGCGGAGCCTGAGTTGCCAGAGCGGTGGTCGTCTGCACGATGCCCAAGGCCAAGGGCAAGACCCGGAGGCAGAAATTCGGGTACAGTATTAACCCGGAGCGAGTGAGCCGGAACCCTCGACGGGAGGCAGCGCCGCGGGTCGAGTGGCGAGGGAGCCGGGGTTCAGGAGGCCGCGGGCTGGGACCGCCGGCGAGATGACGGTTCCGCTGCCTCGCTCCCTTTGCGTGTAGCTCTCGCATCCGACACGCCCGGGACCGCGCCGCGGCGGTGCGGCAGAAGCTGGCCGAGATGGAGTTGGCGGTGGGTCCCAACAAGGCGGTGCCCCTCCGGAAGAGAAAGGGACTGGCACGGCGGGGTCCCGGCTCTTGCCCCACCCCGCCCCCCTCCACACGTGGCTGCGTCTCAGAACTTGTTCCTGCCCGTTCCCTTCCTCGCGCCCTTCCAGGGTTTGCGCCCTCCCCACAGCCAGCTCGGCCAGCCTGCGCCGATTGTGGTTGCGGGGCCCTCACGACCTCCGTCGTACCCCCTCCCCCGGAAACCTTGGACTTGGGTTGGAGCTTCCCCTGTCCTTCACGAATTTATTTTCCCTCTGAAATTAACTTGTTTGGGTCCCTTGACATCTCAGTAGTATTTTCCAGAATTTAACTTTTTCTGCCCTTGTCTTTCCTCATAAGGACTCCCCAGAGTTTGACATCTTTACACGTTTCCCCCCAGGCTTCCCTAGGACTAGTTTCTCCCAAATAAGGCTTTTTCTGGACCCCCCCCCCGCTTCCAAAAATAGCACCCCCGTTCACTCAGTAACTTTATCCCTGCTTTATTTTCATTCACAGCACTTGTAAATACGTGGTGGAATAGTATATATTTATCTTATGTGTTTATTGGCTGGGCCTCTTCCCCCAAACCTAATCTTGGGGACAAGGACTTAGTGTTTTGTTCACTGTAAGTCCCCAGTGGTACTTAGGATGTGATTAACGCGCAATAGAGTGTTAACCTAATGAGTGGACTTGCTGATTGAACTTGTCCCATTGCTTTTAGGCCAGTTTTTTATTCCTTCACACTAGAGGAAAATGGCAGAAACAGCAGCTGTTTCTTGAACAAATACGAAGCTGCAGCCAAGCTCTCTCAAGTTGCTCCTCCCCGTAGAGGAGACCCGACATCTCCCCCTCGCTATAAATTATAAAGCACTTTCGTGTGTATTGTTTCATTCGATTATCATCCAAGAAGCAAGGCAGGCAAGGGGTAGTACGCCAATTCCATAGACGCACAGAAAGGAATGGCTTGAGTCTCATGGGAACTAGGAAGCCTCCAGGGCATCGGTTCTCCTTGTCACCTGCTCCTGCCTGCCTTCGTGTAGGGCAGCGGTTCTCAACCTTCCTAATGCCGCGACCCCTTAATACAGTTCCTCATGTTGTGGTGACCCCCAACCATAAAATTATTTTCGTTGCTACTCTGTAACTGTCATTTTGCTACTGTTATGAATCGTAATGTAAATATCTTTTTGTTTTCCGATGGTCTTAGGCGACCCCTGTGAAAGGGTCATTCGACCCCCAAGACCCCCAGGTTGAGAACCGCTGGTGTAGGGATTCTTGTGGGTAATGAATGTAGTTGTGTTGGGATGGGCAGGAGCCTCTAGCGTTTTCCCTCATCCAGGCTCCTTTGTCTGCTGGTCTCACTAGCTCTGTTGTCTGCAGATCAGGGCCTTGGAAGTGGACCTAGAGGGAAGGCCTCAGGAGCTAGTGCAGAAGCCCTACCTCGTAGACTACGTACGCTGCATGGTGGAGAACCACGGGGAGGACTGGAAGGTGAGTGGCTCAGGCCGGCAGGAAGAAACGCTGGGACCCGTTGGGAAGGCACCTGGACCATTCGAGTTCTGATCTGCTTGCCTAGTGCCTGTTTCCTGAGACTGAGCAGAAACAAAGGGAAGATTCTAGGAAAGGAATCCCACGGACAGAATGCTTATTTATAGCTGGGATAGGGTGAGTGGCTATTCCGTAGGTATGTTGTTTTATTTGCATGGTATTTTTAAAGAACTTGAACTAGTTGCCATTTTAATTATGGGAGGTTTCAAATAAACATCCATATTTTTGGCTTCTGTTAAAAATGGAAAGATCTGGCTACACTGGACCCCTGCGCCTAGACCAGATTAGTTGACTGTGGATGGAGCATGCGCTGCTCAGCTGGCCCCAGCTCGTGCCTGGTCCCCGTGGGCATCTGCACCCATTTCCCCCACATACACCATGGCTTTTGAGGTGAGGAATCCGAACCTCAGGGACAGGAGGTGGTTTGCCCAACTCCGGACTGAGCTAGCGTTTGAACCGTTGCCTGTCCAGCCCTCAAGTGGCTCTTCTCCCTTCCAAGGCTATGGCCCAGGATGAGAATTACTATCAAGAGTCCCCGGAAAAGATTCAGAATAAGATCAATGTCTCTAAGCATTTTTACCCAGCAGCATGGCAAGCCTTTGTTCATTCTTTGTAGAATAAGATGGCAGTTGAGTGGCTGGTTTACACCTGCCCCAGGCTGAGGCCTCCTGGGCCGGAGAAGCTGGAGCCAGGGTTTAAGGCGAGGGGTGTGTGGTTACAGGTGGGTCTGGCCGGGGCTAGGCCTGCCTGATCTGACCAGGAGGTGACGAGGTGATGACTATCCGTAGCAGCATTACAGGCAGGGTGTGAGGTTGTCACTGGGCATTTTCTTAGTCTTGATACTTCATCCTCAGCTATTCATAATACAAAAAGCCTCATTTCTGAGGATTCTCCTACAAGTACCTAAGATGTCTCCTCACTGCTCTTGCGAAGGGCTTAGTGTTTTTACATAGATTTCACATAAAACCATGTAAGGTGTGTGGTTTTCTTCCCATCTTACAGGTGTTTCGAAACAGGCTTGAGAGGCATTAAGTGCCGGGGGATTGAAGTCAAGTCTTTCCCACACTAAGCCTAGCTCTCCTTTGCTGGCCTCCCCCTGGCTCCTGAAGGCAGCGCCTCTGTCCCACGTGGTCAGGACAGGCTGGGGAAGTCCCGGAAACCCCTCCCCTGTTGGACTCAGCCCGTTTAGACTGCACAGTGACTGGCCACTAACTAAGCACCTCAAGCACAGGCATTTCGGATCTGGGCTGCAGCGGAGCTCCTGAGGCCCCTCATTACTGGCCTCAACTTTTGTCCTTAACAGCATCCCACATTCAGGCCTTGGACAAGGCTGGCCCCTTAACCTGGTTTCTTTACTTGGTTCAGGTGCCAGTTATAGGGAGCCTTCTCTACCACTGCCTCCTGCCCCGGGCTGTGTGTCCTGTAGTCCCCATGCCCAGACTTCCTGTAGCGGTACCATCCCAGTCATACCTGCCTTTCAGTCTGCTCGACGTCCCCTACCAGACTGGGCGAGTGCAGGGACCTGGCCCCAGGCGGGTGCTGGGGGAATGTTTGTGGCGTGGCTGGCTGTGTGCCACGACCTCCGTGCTGACCTCTGGCGTGGAGGCAGTCAGATGTCTTTGTTCCCGTTTCCACACCTTCACTGACAAGGCCAGAGCCAAAGAGCAGGTGGAGACTTTGGGTGCCTCGCAGAAGGTACCGAGTTAGGCCCAAGCTTCTGTCCCTTACCCCCACGGGGGCTCAAGGCCAGGGGACTGGGACTTGCTGTTGACAAACTATCACAGAGAGTGTTCTGGGGCCACCCTCCATAGCTGCCCCTCACTGGGACTGCAAGTACCCAGCACACAAAGTCAGAATTCACATGAAACCACTTCCATGTTTTTGGCGTTTATTGTGTAGTCCCTCAAACGCTGCCAGCACTCTGCCTTACGCAGTCTGGGTTTGTGAGGCATGGGCGGACAGTGAGGCCCCTTTGCCTTCTGATCTTTGTGGGAATCCTCCCTTTGTCCCTTAATGGGCCCATCTCCCAGAGGCAGCAGACGAGAAAAAGCAGGAGGTTCCCCTTTTCAGAGCTACCGGGAAGGACTGAGGATGTGTGAGCGTCAGAGGCACAATGCTTGGACAGTCCCGGCTCTGAGGTCTGGGTTAGCTGCACAGGATAACACCACGGGCGAGTTTTAGCAGCTGGTGCGAAATGCTGGCAGTTGCTACTAAACTACAATAGCATAAGAACAAAATGTTTTTCGAAGGCAAGTGGAAACGTTTTTTGGGAAATCTGGTGTTTCCTTTAGGCAGACAGGCCAGAGTTGTGGTTTTCATCAGCACCTCTGTGGAGGACCAGGAAGCCGTGACGGACCAACTTCCTCCTCTACCCAGTCTTAGAGCTGGTTCCACTGCGTCAGCACAAGCTCATAGCGGGCAGTTCTGGGCGCCATGAGATGTCAGAGAAGGCTTCTTGGGATGGGCAGTTAGTCCAAGGTGGTGGTCCCAGCAGCCTCCAGAGCCCTCCTGCCCAGACCATCCACATGTCCGAGCTCTGGACCAGGTGGCCTCTCCTCAGAGGGATGCCAACAGGTCACCGAATGGAACATCAGAAGCCATTTCATTGGAATAACTTAAAGAACAGACACCCCGTGCCAGGGTGAGTGATCCAGACACAGGTTCTACAAGCAAATAGAGCAGAGCCTTCTATCCACTGTCTTCTTTACCACATGAGCTGCCCGGACACTTACTCTCTACCCCCACGCTTAGGTAGGTCAGGAGCTGTAGGTCGGGGCCGACTGGGGAACAGTGTCACCCAGGCTAGCTCAGGAACCTCAGAGATGAACAGCTCCAGGTAACCCCTGGTCCCCAATAACAGTTACCTGGGCCCCGGATCAGAAAGTCACATTCAGGAGTAACTGGTAAGAGCACAAGGCCAGGCGTCTAGTAGTTCTCTTATTAAGAAAGGCCATTCTCCTGCTTTGCCCAGTCTGGTCCTGGGAGAAATCAGAGCCAATAGACACTGTGGCACTTGGCTTGGAGGACAGGCCAGCAGCCCCATCAGAGGAGCACAGCCGTCAGTGACAACTGTGCTGAGGGACACCCACAGGCCAACAGAACCTCCAGTCCACACCAGTATCAGGGGTGGCACTCGGGACCCTCAGCGCCCCCCAATGATGTGTATCTTCTCGTGCTGCTGGGACCTGTGGGTTCTGAGTGGTCTTTAAACGAAGCTCAACTGGACATAGTTAAACTCTATTCAAGTTCACCTCCCCGCACTGGGGGCTTTAAAAACTGTACTTCATAATGATACTCGATAAAAAAAGGGGTCCCCTGGGGCCAGCCGAGTGGCGCGATGGTTAAGAACTGGCTTACGACGCCAGAGGGCCCTGGTTTGGATCCCACATATGAGGGCCAGTGACACTGCCCTCCACAGCTAAGATGCTGAACAACAGCTCAACCTGGAGCTGGGCTGCCGTGAGTCGCTGGTGACAGCGTAGACTGCAGCCCCTGTGGTAGTGGGTTGCCATGGACTACCGTGTGTAGCCAGCAGCCGCAGTGAGCGGCCAGCAGCCGCAGTGAGCGGCCAGCAGCCGCAGTGAGCAGCCGTCCAAAAGATGGTGACTGATCTGCCTCACCCGGGAAGAGCGCAATGATGGTGCCAACTTGGGCCAGTGAAGCGACGTCCTCCACAACTAGACTGAAGAACAAAACGACAGCAACTTGTCTGTTCCCCTTCCCCCAACTCCCCAATTAAAAAAAAAAGGGGGGGTCCCCTCACCAATGCTGGTTCCCTAGGTAACTTTCAAGCACTGGAAACAAGTTGGGGTTTACAGAACAGAGAATAAGGTTTCTCAGTCTTCCAATGGCAAAATGAAAAGTTGTCAGAAAAGTTTCAAAGGCTACTCTTAAAACCCAAGTCATTCCTTAAACACTAAAAGGCAGACCAATCACTTAACGCAGCAAGTTAATGGGGATTTCAGACAGCAGTTCTGCTCTGGAAACCGCAGCGCAAGAGCCCAGCAGCCACTCCTCAGCCCTCACACCACTGTGGACTTCAGCGCTTCCCTCCCCCCGCCGCCTCGCTGTCCCTGTCCCTCTCCTTGCAAGGGCCACAGAACTGAAGCACAGAGTAAATGTCAAACGAAACAAAGGCACATAATCTCTTTTCTCAATTAAAAAGCAAACTGAACTGGAGATCCGCTCTAGAAAGAAGTCTTTGTGGCTGCTGATTATTCGTTGGCTCCAGACAGACAAAAGGCTCCTTCTTTTGCCTGCACTAAAGAGAAGTGTCAGCGCAGAGATGGTCTTCAACTGGCTGGTCCCTGGAGAGAGGAGCATGGAAGGTGCACTGGAGAGACCGCAGAATCAAAGGGCCCAGAAAGGCTGGCCACGTCCTCCAGGGGGCCGGTCTGCTACGCCCCATTGCTTTTACCTGGATTGACATGATTGGCATTTCTTGTCCCAGTCATTGGTTATCCACACAGAAGGGGTCTGCGTCCCCTCCACGTACAAGTTCACGCGGATCAGTGTGAAGTGCTGGTATCAGGTGGAGCCACAAAGGGCAGGGCAAGCTAGAGCTGTCTCCAGCGACACGGACATGGTATCACCTTGTCGGTCACGATTCCACCTGTTCTCAAGACAGTCATCTGGGGTTTTGATTACAGCACCTGGAAACAGCCTAAATCTATGGCCTGTTCCTTTATAAATAAATAAATTACAAGGCAGTTCTGAGGCCAACGCCCAGCTCTGGTCGAGTCATTTCCCCAGGAACATGGACTCCTGCCTCCCCCACTTATGTAAACATGGGCACTGGCACAGTTAATGTAAGAGCAGCAGCTTGTCTCCAGATTGGGGGGGAAAGACCAGTTTCTCTGATTAGGGCATGAATGCCACTTATTCTGTAGTCATGAGACTGCGGGCCAGGCCTCGGCTTGGTGGGCGCAGGGAGGTTTCAGAAAGCTTGCTCAGGTCTCCAGGTTTGTCCTAACATTTCTAATCCCCCTGGCAGGGAAATGCATCTCCAAGATAGAAAAAAACACAGAAATCACCTTCCTTTAAAAATGATGGCCCTGGGCCAGAGAGGAAGAGACTGCACAAGGCCTCAGCCCACTGGGCAGAGCTGGGGCTGCAGGACAGTGTGGGACCGGGAGCCAAGACTCACTGTGTACGCCAAGCACCTGCCCACGTGAGGAGCGTGGAGTTGCCGGGAACAAACAGTCTAGACTGGGAATGCTTCTGACACCTACACTGGTGTCACCAGGGCCTGCAGGGAGGGGAGACCTGAGCCCACTGAGCATCGCCCTGTACAGGTCAGAGGGGGTCTTCACTGGTGAAAGCTGGATCCACGGCCAGCCCCGAATGAGCCAGGCGCCGTCCTCACCTACCCCGCAGCTTCGGCCTCACGGCCAGCTCACCAGGAAGGCTTCTACATGGTTCTTGGCCTTGCCCAGGCCGTGCTCGTGCTCGTGCTCGTGAGAGGGCAAGCGGGGAAGGGCAGTGCTGCCACGTGGCTCCTGCCCCAGGCCCAGGCTGGTAAAGAAGCAGGAACAGCAAAACGGGGGCTCCAGGGCTGGGCGGTGAGCAGGCGGTGCCAGCCTAGGAGAGAAGCTCCAAGAGCAGCCTCCAGATGTGCACGGTGCCAGGGTCTTCAAAGCCGGATCCGGCCGGGGCGATGCTGGCCGCCAGGAGGAAGACTTCCCGCTGGCTCTCGAAGGCCTGCAGGCCCAGCTCCTGCTGCAGCTCCACCACACTCATGGCCTCGCCCAGGTCCTGGGATGAAACAGCCAGTGGGAACAGTCATTGTTTCCCAGCACCCAGCCTCCTCACCCATGAAATAAACTGTTTTGGGGCTCCTTCAGGGAACACTGGGCCTCGGTCTAAATTCTCTTCCTCATCTCTGGCTTTCCTTTGTACGAATCTCTTTTCATCCCACTATCAGCCACTGTGGTAAGAAACAGAACTTCCTATATGTCAGGCATTGTGATTGGCACTTAAGTCTTACTGAATTCTCAGTCTACACTTAACTGATGAGGAAATTGGCTCAGGGAAGGCGAAGTCATTTAGCCAAGGAAGTTGTGATAAGCGGCAGAGCCAGGTTTCAAACTCAGGTTGGTGAGATACCCAAGCTTAGGACCCTGAGAGGAATCCTAGCTCAGTTTCCTAAACGCAGCAGTGGAGAGAGCTATCGTGGGGTCACGTCCAGACAAGGGCCTTACCTCCGCCAGACTCAGACACTGGCTGAGGAGAAAGAGGCCACTACACAGCATGGCTGGTGAGGGTTCATTTTAATTTCAACCAGGGCCCAAGATTAAAATGATCCTTGGAGCAATTCATGGAATGCTGGGACGTTAGGTGTTGTCTCCTATAGGTTCAAAATGGCTACAAATTATAGTTTATACCTAGGATGATGTAAGTTATTGGCCAAACTGGGATACTTCTCAGACTCCAGGGGGCTCTATTATTAATTATACCAGAAAAACAGGCATACATGGGGACTGTCCCAGGCTGACAGGACATATAGTCATCGATTTATAAATGATTATCAAGTATTTCCCGCTAGGCAGGGGAACCGGAGGTCAAAGGCGTATAGCCCCTCTCCAGCCAGGTTGGGAACATGTCCTGTGGCTCTCAGGGACATGGGCACAGGCCACAGAGAACATGACAAGCCTCTGTACCGTAGCAGTTTCACATGGTGTTGAGAATGGCACTTTAGGCCTGATACTGAGGGCTGCTGGGCCCACGGCGGCCCTCTGGCACCCAGGAGAGGTACAGTGTAGTGGTTAAGAGCAGGAACTTTGAGGAAGACCTGAGTTCAAGTCCTGCCATTGCCACTTAGAGCTATAACTCGGCATTTAGGGGTAACAGTGGGGCCTAGCGTGGGGTTTTGTAGGACTGTGTTGGTGCTTAGCACTGCCTGGCACACTAAGCCCACAATAAATGTTATTATTTAATCCATTAACTTCTTATCACATCCCAGCTTCAGCTCTTTGATCTAGAACCAGAAGTCACAACACAGCAGAGTGGAAAAGGCACAGGTTTTCCAGTTAGACATCCAACTCCATGATTTTCAAGGTGTGCAACCTTGGGGGGGTTGCAGAATCTCTGAGCTTCAGATTCCCCTCTATAAACTGGGACTAAGTAGCCCATACCCTGGAGGATCAATAGAAACAGAATATCAGAGGTCATTCATAACCACACCTGCGTCTCATGGATACTTAATGATTTTTCTCATTTCTCCAGGATGACAGATGACAGGGAGGCACAGGGGAGGGCAGACAGGATGAGGACTAGGGGTGAGGAAAGAGCAGAGGCAGAGGAGGGGGGCCTGGGCTCTCCGCCAGGCCAGGCACTCCCGGTCGCGGGCTGGGCCTGCCCCCAGTACGCCTGAGCCAGCCTCCCGCAGCCCTCACCTGCTTGTTGGCTACCACGACGACAGGCAGGTCAGGGTCCTTCTCCAGCAGCTTGTGCAGTTCCTGCCGGGCCCAGGGCAGCCGCAGCCGGTCCGCCGAGTCCACCATGAACACCAGCACGTCCACTTCATTCACAAACTCCTTCCAGTAGAAGCGCAGGTTCTGGCTGCCACCGACTGGGGAGAGGCCAGGGCCAGCTCAGAGCCTCCCTGGGCCCTGGCTGTCTTCTCCCAGCCCACCCCACCTACTTCCAGCTTCCTGAGGCTCCACCAGCCAGGTGCAAGGAAAAGGCTCCAGAGCGTCAGACCTGGGTTTAGCTCCAGCTGACAGCTGGGTCTCCCTGGGCACGTTGCTGCCTTCAAGTATCAGTCTCCCCTTCACTGAACTTACCCAACAGGTAGCAGCAAAACCCAAAGGTACCATAGACAATGCACCTTTCAGATGACTGGTGTATAGTAGGTGCTCAATAAACTGCACTCCCCAGTTCTTTCACCGGCTGCCTAACCTCCTGCCAATTCCTAGCTTTCTCCTGGGTCAGCGGTGCCTGTGGTCGGAAGCCAGGACTCCCTGCCCTGCCTCTGCACAGCCATTCTCCATTCAGTTTCTCTTGTTCAGCCTGGTCACCACCCCATTTTCTTTCCCTAGGAACGCCATACTCAGTCCTACCACCACAGACATGGCTGTCCATGGAATATCCCCAGCATGGGCTGCCTTCCTGTTCCTCTGTCCTCCTGCACAGCCCCAATGGTCACTGCATCCTAGTGCTTCTGGTTATACTTTGGACACTTGTGGACTCTAAGCTCTTTGAGAGTTAGAGCCGTTTCTCTCTGGATCCCCCAAAGCCCTCAGCACAATGCCTGGCACATAGCAGGCACTCATCAAGTATTTACTGAGTGCTTACTAGGTGCCAAGCACTGATCTGGGTGCTGGAGACACAGAGGAGCAAGGCGGGCAGGGGCCCTGCTCTCCAGGGCCCTCCGCAACCAGGACGGACACAGCAGTAACACAAACACGTTTCAGAAAGGAAGGAAATAAAACAGAAAAAGGGAAAGTGGGGGAGTGGCTTTGAATTGGGTGGTCTGGGAAGGTCTCCCCAAGGAGGTGGCATGTCAGCTGAGTCTGCAGTGACGACAAGAAACACGCCATGGGGAGAGGCAGAGGAAGGAACAAGCTCGATGTGTGAGAAACAGAAAGTGGCCAGAGGGGGAGAGGAGGAAGCCATGACCAGACCACACAGGGCCTGTAAGGCCACAGCGAGGCTGTGGGGAGCCCCTTAAGAGTTTTAAGCAAGAGTAACGTGATCTGAAAGATCATGTTGACGCTGGCTGACACTGGAAGACCAGCGAGGAGGCTGTTGTTGTACTGAGATGACGGTGGCTTGGACCAAGCAGGTGGTGGAGGTGGGGAGCTGGATAGACCAGAATCGCCTGGAGGATAAGGCTGACACCCAGCTAATGAAATGGATACAGGAGGTGGGGGCAGGGAAAAATTCTCAAAGACCCACAAAGGCCCGTTCTCAGCTGGGCTCCAGGACTGACGCTGTAGTGGACCACACAGCAAAGTGAGTGTTGTAGAAGGGGAAAGCCCCAGGACTCGAATGGGAGATCTGGGGCTGAATCCTGGCTGAGTGACCTATGGAGGCTGGACTGTTACTGGTCAGACCTTTGGGTAACAAGAAAACACCAAACCCCTTCTCCCAGGCTTGGAGGAGGGGGCACTGTCAGTCAGAGTGGGCCTCAAGTGCACAGCCCCCACTTGACCTTTCTGTGTCCCTGGCACAAAAAAGGGGGACGGGGAAAGGTTGTTGAAAAGGACCAAATCCCAGATGAATATCATTATTTGCTATAACCAGGGAGGAAAGATGGAGTCAAGATAGACCTGCAGGCAAGTGCCTGTGATCTGAGGAACTGGTCCCATTCAGGCCAACAGCCAGGCCCCCAAAGTCTGATCCCCTACCTAGCACGTAACTAAACCCACCCAGTCTTTATGGTCTGAGTCCTCTGGCTGCCAGGAAGTCCACCTGTCCCCACAAAGTCTGTGGCTGAACTCAGGTGGCTAAGTCTGCTGCCCTCTCAGTACCCTCTCTGCCATCCTCTCCCAGATCCCAAGAAGCCTAACACTGATGGCAGGGGGCTGCTTAGACCCTCCCTGATCACTCACTCAACAAGTACCTGCTTTGGGTAGGCCCTCGGGGCCAGAGCTGGATCAGACCCGTCGGTGTCCCAGGGGCCTAGTCAGGGACACAGGCTGGCATGTGGCAAATACTGGAGAAGGGGAGCCCCGAGGAGAAGCCCTTAACCTAGCCTGGGGTCAGAGGAGACCTCAGAGGGACGTCATGTTTGACCTAAATCTTGAAGGATGAGTATTAGTTTATCAAGGGAAGAAGGGCTTTCCAGACTGGGAACAGCGCTTTCAAAGCACAGAAGAGAGAAAACAGCAAGGACCCTTCAGAAATAAGCAACGTGGCACAGAGCTTAACATCGAGAGCCAGTCTGCAGTTTCCCCATGTGTATAAGGGACATCAGTTGTGTGTGGAGTTGTTGGGAGGGTTTTATTAAGTACAGTCATGCACCACATAATGATGTTTCAGTCGGGATCGGACTGCATATATGACAATGGTCCCATAAGATTATGGGGCCTAGTGATGTCGTAGGCAATGCATTACAATTGCCTACAGTATTCAGTAACATGCTGTACAGGCTTGTAGCCTAGGAGCAGCAGGCTGTACCACGTAGATTTGTGTAGGTACACGCTATATTCCAACAACGACGAAATCACCTAAGGACGCGTTTCTCAGACTGTATCCGGGTCCTTAAGCGACGCATGACTGTCAAATGACTGGCATACAGGGAAACTCGAGCTGTTAGCCTCTGTGTTACGCATGTGGGCTTCGGTAGAAGTGAGGGACAGGCAGGACCAAGCTGGAGCTGCCTGTTCATGAAGAGCCCCCCAAGTCAAAATACAGAGCTTGGCCTGTATCCCGTGCCCCAGGGAGGTGTGGGAAGGATTTCATACAGGCGAGTGTTCTGCTTAAATACGCATTTTGGAGCCATCACCAAAGAACCCCGACTTGGGTCCAATTCAGGTGATGGGGACACGGGGTGGGGGAATCTGCTCACTCTCTAGCACGTCCACCTCGAAGTCCTTGGTGGGCAGCCGCACGGAGTTGAAGCCCCAGGTGGGGATGTGGCCTTCCAGCGGTGGCTTCCCCGACAGCACGCGCAGGAACGTGCTCTTCCCGGAGCCATCCAGCCCCAGCACCAACACCTCGCGCTGCTCCAGCTCCTCCAGCGCCGGCTCCTCCTCCTCCTCGTCCTCGGGCTGCGGGGCACAGGTCAGGCTGTGGCCTCATCCTCCCACCGGCCCTTCCCGACTTAAGACCGAAGGCAGCAAAGAGCCCATCCCCTCCCTCCACCCGTCCAGGGCAGGCAGGTACGGCCCGATGCAATGGGACGAGCGCGGCCTCTGAGTCCTTATCCCCAACTCCGGGCTTTCTCTGAGCGACCTCCGGTAAATTCCTTACGCCCACGTCCCAAGGCCGCAGGGACCACCGAGTCGGGGAACCGCGTAGAGTAGCCACGGACTCGCAGAGGGGGCGGAGGTCCTCTCCCGGCATCCCCCGAGCCGCGCGCACTGCGCAGGCGCCGGGAGGCTGCGGGCTGCACCCCGCGCGGGCCCGATACCGCTCCGGGGCCGCGCCCTCCCAGCTCCCGAGCCCCGCGGCGGCGCTGGACGGCGCCCCCCCCCCCCCCCCCCGCCAAACGGGCACCCGTTCCTAGCCTCTGAGGCTCACGACCGGCCTGGCTGCTCGCCCGGGGCCTGCTGGTAGCGACGCTAAGCCCTGGAACCAGGAGGTTCCCGCGCTCGTAGGGTCGCGGTCCGCCCCTTGGCCGCTCGCGCGGCGGCGCAGACCCCGGCCCGACACTCACTTCCCACTCGTCCCACTCGGGGAAGCGGGCGGGCTCCGCGCCCCACCAGGCCTCGCCGCGGTCCCAGCGCCGCTCTCGTCCGCGGCCGAAGTAGACCTTCCAGAGGATGAAGAGCACCGAGCCGAGCACGGCCGCGGCGCCGCCCAGCGCCAGCACCAAGGGGCTCAGGGGCCGCGGCGCCATCAGGCCGGGCGCGGGGCGCGGATGCGGGCTGCACAGGCCAGGCCAGCCGGCACGCCGAAGATGGCCCCGCTGTGACTGCTGCGGCCGCGCCCACCCATCCAGCCCGGTCCAGCACTACAAGCCCCACAATGCACCGCCGCCGTCGCGTCCGCGTCCGGGCAGCGGGAGTGGGGAGGCCGGCGAGAGCTCAGGGACCGTGCGCCCCCTCTGCGAAGTGCGGAAAGGAGGGAGAGGCTGTGCCTGGGCAGGGCTGGAGTCGATGGCAACGGCATCTACCGAGCACTTGCTGTATTCCAAGGGGGTTAGCTCACGGCTGTTCTCGGTTAACCCTTAACGCTGCCTCGTAGGAGGGAAAACCGAGGCCCAGGTCTTAATGCATTGCTGCATCCTGCGTTCAAACCCGAACGACCTGTTTCCTGAGCGTCCCTCATCACCTCGGGGAGGAAATGGCTACAGTGACTTGTCTAATTTGTGATTTTTTTTTTTTTGAAAGCTAAGGTGCTCACTGGGGATTTATTTCAAAGTGAGGAAAATAACTCCCAAATTGTTTTCAAATGCCATCGTTATGAAGATTATATGTTGTCATAAGACATAATCTTGTTGTGCAGACATTTAAACATACTCATTTTGATTCTGCAGTTTTGTGGGTTTTTTTTTTTAAATTTTGGAACCAATTATTTTACTTTAAGTATTCAGAGATGTGTGTGTGTGTGTGTGTGTGTGTGTGTGTGTGTTCCTGAAAAGCCCGTAGACTGTTACATTCTGAGGCAGTGGGGACTGGGACTTCGTATGAATTTCTGTAGGACAAAATTCAGCCCCACACAGCCAGCAACTGCCTTCCTCAGTGTATCCCAGGCACCCAGCGTAGTACAGTGCCTGAAAAAAGACACAGCCCGTTTTCTACCTAACCAACTGCCGCAGACTAGCTGCGTGATGTTGGCCTGGTTCCTCCTGTTCTCTGCACCGTAGCTGTGCCACCTGTAATATCAGATTGGATAAATTGGTTCCTAAAAACAGTTTGACAGCCCTCTAGCCCCTCATCCTTAAATTAATTTCTTCAATTAAATCTTCCCCCCTTACCACCAGAGGGAGCTGTTGCTTCCCGTTGTTTCTTTGGGAATGCGCCTCCAACCCTCTTGTTGCACCAGGAACAACTAAAGTGGAGATGCTGTGGCCAAGGACAACCAGCAGCCAAGCTATCAGCTGGATACTCAGCCCTGGGCTTGAATTTCAACTCTGCAGTTTCCTGGCTGAGGCACTTTTGCCAAGGTCCACTTGAGAGTGTTAATTTCTCTGCAGCCAAACGGGCAATGGAAATGGATAATTACTGAGAACTGCTAGGTGGAATGCCTCATTTGATGACAGGCAGCAAGCAGGCTTCCGGGTAGACCTCCCAGTCTCGAGACCCCAGAAATGCAAATTCCCCCCTTGCTGCCTTCCCAGTGACCAAGTTCCTATCTGCTGATGAGTCATGAGAACACTGGCAGGTCTGCCTAGGGAATGGGCCTTTCTGAGGGCTTGGACTGGCCAGAGAGGGCAGGTGTCTACAGGAAGGCAGATGTCCCCTCCCCCATGAAATCCCCCATGGAATCCACGATGATGTGAGGCATCCAGGGTGGATGCAAGAGAGATCCTGGTCAATTCCAGTTTTTGAGGCTCCAAGTTTATTAAAGTATGAAATGCCCAAGGAAGTGCAAAACGACAATTCAGAGTCAAAAGCATTTAGAAAATCAGTGTCCTGGTAAGTGTATGTTGTAAAAATGCAACCAGACTTCCCGGTCAGCCCCACACAGGGCCCTTTGACTGTTGTCTGCCCCCAGACATGAGCTGTGCAGTCAGACCTCAACAAAGAGATTCCCAGTGATGCTGCCGCCTTGGGGGAGTCAAGTGACTGCACAGACTAGAAGCAGGGTTGGCTAAGGACCAAAATCAGAGTCAGAAAAAAAGCACAGAAAAGGGGTGGAGGGGACCTCTATTGCCACAAGAAGTTTCACCCCAGGAGCTGAGAAAGATGGCCTGACCTCAAACAGCCTCATGGATTCCATTGTAGCTGACTGAATCCCCCTTAGATAGGCAACCAAACCATTTATAAAACTAGTTTACCTGGAAAAAAGGCTTCTAAGAGAGTCCAGGCTTTAGCTGAATAAGCTCCCTAATAGAAAAAATACAATACCCATCTAAAGGGGGAAACCTCATAAGATTGTGAAGGTTAAAAGTTTTCAGTTAGTCTGTCTTCTGTGGAAAACAGCAATTTTCTCACGTGGCCTCTATCTGCCTCGATCATGCCATAGCTTCAGACTTCAGTACTGAAAAAGTCAGGAATAAAGTTGTTTTAGTCAGAGAGTCAGTAACTTCCAGGACAGGCTTCAATTTTCCTTCATTAGGGGGGTAAGAATGAAACGAGGCGATCCTGTCTTCTGGTTTAGGTAAGGGTGCCAAGTGCTGACTGAGGTGTGATGTGCACCCCCTTCCCTCTGATGGAGGAGAGGAGGGCAAGGTGTCAGCTTTGCTTCCACAGAGGGTAAAAACTTATGGCATACAATATTTTAAAAGTTCCAAATTAATGAAGTACCACTTTTAATCCACACAAAGAATCACACTGCAATATAATTGTGCTATACATAAGCTAACTATAGAATTTAGAAAAGACTTTATTTCGTGGTGCACTCAAGTGTGGTGGCCCGGTGATGGCGCTCACGTTTAAAGTTGCCTGAGGAAAGCCTCTCAGTCCTGCCAGTAGACCTGGAAAGCGTCAAATGCTGAAATCTATTGTAAATGTGAGATTCTCCCCAGGCCCCATAGCCCTCCTGAGATGAACTTTGATGGCAAGCTTGGGAGGTGGGGTAGAAACGTGAGTAGATTTTTAAAAAAACTTCTTTTACTTTCTCAACTTTGTTGCTCTATCATATTTGTAAACCCTACAGGGAAAAAAATAAGCCTTCCTTCAGGATGTGACATTTGATTGGTCACCTCTTCAAGCATCACTTTCCAGAGTGTAAGAGGGAAATGACATTTGGACCACCTTGCCTAGAGGAAGCAGATGAGGTTTGCTCCCTTTTTTGGTTCTGCCACTTGTATGAACCCTGCCTGATCCAGCTCTTCCTGTAAGAGGGTCCTTGCTCATTTCATTTCTTATTAGTCGACGTGCCCATAAAGTCGTGGGGCCTTTTGGATCGTGGACTACAACTCCCATCATGCTCCGAGTGCCTTCCGGGCCAAGTCTCGCGTGACGTAACGCGGTATCGGGAGGCTTTATCACGAAGGCTGTCGGCCAGCCCCGCAGCCTGCGCTGCCTCGTCGGTGTCCGTGTCCTTCAGTGTCGCCACGGGCACAGCTTCGCTCACACCATGGCTTGGGTTCCGACTGCGCCACAGCCTCTCGGGATACGTGGGCCCTCCGAGCCTCTTTAGTGCCGGAGCTCGGGCTGCAGGCAGCTCCGCGGCGGCGAAACAGGTAACCAGATGGTCGGGGCCTGGGCCCTGGGGCTCCGTTCTCCGCTCATCCTGAGGGGCGCGCAGCTGGCCCTGCCACCATAGCTCTGGCCCGAGGCCTGTCCCCTCCTGCCCCCCCGCCCCCTTACCCAGGCTCGTATCTTGGCGGTTCCGCCGCTGGCCTTGCTCGCCCGTTGCGTCTCTCGCCCCGCCTTCTCGAGTCCCCCAGTGGGCCATCTCTGTCGTGTTGTCCTCGCAGCCCCAGCACGGGGCCTCGCCTCTACTTCATCCGACCGTACCCCCCGACCCCCCCGTCTCCTCGTCCCTTCCCCCTCACCTCTGAAGCCTCCTATTTGCCCTGCTGTCGGGAAATCTTGTGCTTGTGTCAGGCCCCGACCCCAGTCTCCTTCGTCTTGACCTGCGTCGCACGGTGGGAAAGGGGGTTGGGTCAGAGTTGGCCTTTCAAATTCTGGGTGGCATTGTCCTGCATCTCGGGTGGGAGATGCTTGAACTCTGGGGCGGGGGGGGGGATGTTTCTGGGTGGGAATGCTCCCGGACCCGGAGGATGGCTGAACTTTGGTTTCTGAGATGCTTTTTAATGAAGAACAAACTAGTTTGCCCGCTGAGAGGAGCAGTGTAGCAACGTCGAAAAGCAAATAACGGCTTTCTCAGCGGTGTTTGAACTCCCCTGTAAATTGGGGGTGAACTGTATGTCTTACAGATGGTCCACGGATCTGTGACCCTGGACAAATCACTTATTTCCTGATTTTTAGTTTCCTTCTTAAATTGGGGATAAATAATACCTGTTTTGCAGGGTTGTTGCAGGGGTTAAAATACAAGATAAGCATTGTATAAAAAACCCTTATCCATATTAATCAGTGTTAGCAACAAGGAATGAAGTTACCCACGGTGGTACCTAGCTCCTTGCTGTAGGTCAGGTGATTTGGACCCTGAACCCTAACTTACTTAAAAAAATAAAAAAACTTATAATTCCTCTTGCAAGACTATTACGGGAATACAGGAACATACCGGAAGGTGTTCAGCAGACTTGGAAGGGCTGCAGCAATCAATGCTGGTTGTTTGTTGTTCTTAGAACCTCTGGAATGGATGGCCTCTTCCTGTGCAACTTCGCTAATTTGCAGCAGCTAGACCATGTTCCTCATTAATACCTACCTGTCAGCGTAATCGTCACATCGTTTCACTCCGGTAAGGTGACCTTTTCACCAGGGGTAGCGTCTTTGTCATATCAAAGGTGTTAAATCAGCCACAGGTGGGGTGAGACCTTTGACTTCAGCCTTTTTTTTTTTTTAATCTCCCTTGGCATGTTTTTCACCCATTGGCTGTTGTGTGTGTTTCAACCTTGTAACTAAGCCATAAAACTTTGTGTGCCTGTCAAAAGAACAGTGTTGGAGCTCTTCTTTGGTGTTCACTGTAAGAAAATGCTGTTTGTTATTTTTATTAGGTGGCAGGGACTCAGCTCTGAAATCTATATAGAAAAAGCTCCTGGATCCCAGTCTTTCAATGGCTTCGAGACAATCAGAAGTGCCTGGTAAACTTAATTCTTTTTGGTAAAGTCGTGTTTCACCCTTAATGTTTTAAGCTAGATAGAAACCACTCTTTCTGAACCACGTATTGATGGTTACTCTCTGCCACCAGGGAAGTATTTAGATTTAATAGATTCACATCATTTAAATATTATCTTATTAACCATCCAGCCAGGTTAGGAACCCAAAATCTAACTGGAAAGAGAGCAGTCATTCCACTCGGGTATGGCAAATTTGTCACTTTCCTAAGGCATCAAATAAGAATTCAGCATAAGCTGGGTAGTTCTTGTCCTATGTACTGCAGTGAGTGAACTCACCCCCCTTTCTAGGAGGGTAGGGGATGGGTGGGGTGGAGGTCTGGGCAAAAACTTAGACAGTCATGAAAACGCTCACAGCAACATTTAATGACTCCTGGGTCTTATAGGGCAGTACTTTCTGGGTTACTGATCTCGCCTTGGACTGGTTTAGTAGGAAAAATGGTGATTTTTAATCAAATCTGAATCACTCAATTTTAGATAATCAGTATAGCTAGTGCCTATCTTTCAGGGCTGCTGTGAAGATTAAACATAAAATATGTGAAAATGTGAGTTAAAAGTTAGTGGTGAATATAAATATGCGTTTACTACCCAGAAAATGTTGGAATCTCTATTTGTAGGAATATAGTTCCTAGTAAATATTAGCTGACTTGATCATTATTTTTAGGAAGACTATTGGGATGGCTGTTGGGAGGAGTTTTTAAGATGTTTTTGAAATTGCTTCCAAATTAAGTGCAGTGATAAGAAGACTTCCCCATGTCCCCCAATATAGATTTCTCTCTAGTCTCTAACTTCATCAGCTTGTGTTTTAGTTTGTCTTTCGTCGTTGCTGTTGTGATCACCATAAACCTGCTGTAACCATCCCAGACCACAGGGTTGCACTCATGATGTTAGTGCTTTGTAGTGTGGGGAGCACGGCTTGTTGCATGTGGTGTGAGCACTGGCTTAGATCTGTGTTTGGTCCCCATCCATACTTGCTAGCTGGGTGTCGCTTAAGATCTATGCCTCCATTTCCTGAGCGGGAAAATGGGAAGAATATCTGCTTAATGAGGGTTAGGTGAGAGGAGGGCTATAAGTGCCTGGCAGGGAAGGGTACTTGGTAATTTTGATTTGCTTGTGTGTTTGTTTTGAGATAATTCACATACCATCAAATTCACCCATTTAAAGGGAATAATTTAGTGGTTTTCAGTATATTCCCAAGGTTGTGCAACCATGACCATTGTCTAATTCTGTAACATCTTCCTCACCCTGAAAAGAAAAGCTCTTACCCATAGTAGTCACTCCCCATCCCCCACCCCCAGCCCCAGGCAACCACCAATTCCCTCTGTTTTTATGGATTTGTTAGCAGTTCTTAATGTCAATAGTAGTAATAATGGTAGCTGCTTGGTCCCCTTGCTGTTTAAATGAAGTGTCTTTGCTGGTTTTGGACTTATTGCCACACAGGTTGATGTCTTGGAGAGTAACTGTATAATTTTAGCAACAGGCAAATGTCACGCTAAAGGCAGGATCTGGACATTTAGTTCTGCTATAAAAGGATTAGCAAACAAACTGAACCTTGCTTCCTGTTGTGGCAGAGCCGAGAGTGCCCTTGAAGTAGGGTGCCTAACTCACAGCGAGACATGCCACCAGTCAGTTGCAGGGGACGGGAATGGCAGGGTCAGCTGATGGTGCTTTATGGAGGGGCTGTTAATAGTTTCTGTGCTGGTGATTGGCTCTGCTGTTGAAACCATTCAGAACACTCGAAACACGTGATGCGGAGGGTGCATCCTTTTAACTATTCTTGTAATCGTGCTCTTGTTTTCTTCGGTGAGGCAGGGAGGCAGAGGGTCTGCAGTCGAGCCCCAGCTGGCTGCTTTCTGTGTGAACTTGAGCAGATCATTTCATCTCTAGACCCTATTTTCCTCATCTGTAAAGTGGGAGCAAGAACTTCACAACCTCTTGAGTCGAGAGCATTGACATCCCTGTGGGGGCGGATTCTGTCGCATAAAGAACACATGCTTTCAAATCAGACAGGATTGGATTTTGATTCCTTACTGCACTTTGAAGTTGTGTGACCTTGCTCAGGTAAATTGCAATTGAACTTCAGTTTCCTAATTCACACAAGTGGATTAGGGGTGCAGAGTGGGTTAAGAGGAAAACGCAAGTGTCAGGCATCCAGGAAGGCATCAGTGCGACGGATTACCTTTCCTTGAATGGATTTGCTGTTCTAGAACAAGCTATTCTGTTAGTTCGCTCAGCTGCCGACCCACCCTGACAGGTGTCTCTATTCTTAGCTCTTGAGCCCAGTGGGCCTCTGGGCACGATGTCCCTGCCCATCGGGATGTACCGTCGGGCTTTCAGCTATGACGACGCCCTGGAGGACCCTACGCCCATGACCCCTCCTCCGTCGGACGTGGGCAGCGTCCCCTGGAGGCCAGTGATCCCAGAGCGCAAGTATCAGCACCTCGCCAAGGTACCTGCCCCTGCCGCCCGCTTCGGGCATGCCCAGCCCCTCGTTGTGCCCCTCAGTGGCTCCCGGCACCCACAGAATCGGCTGCCATGGATCCCTGTATATGTTTTCTGTGCTCCAGCTGGAGTTGGGGGGGGGGGCGTTGTGTTTTTCTTTTTAATTCAAACTAGAATGGCCATATCTCCTACCCGAGATTCTTCTGTCCACACCCCCTGCCGCCCCAGTCCCCTTTCCCACACCATTAAATACAAGCTGCAGTCTGCCGCTTCCCCGCTGATCTGACCTTGCAAGTGGTCTCAGATTTCTTGATGTGGTAGGGCATTTGATGCCTCTGAGCCTTTGCTTCAACTGCTCGATTGCCTGGAATGTTCAGTCCCCAACCTGTCCTCCCACCCACCTGCCTGACAAACGGTGTCCGTTTAGTCCTTAGCACACATCTCTCCTGTGACACTTTTCCTCCATCCTCCCCATAAGGTGATCACTTCTCCCTGTGAGCTCTGTGCACCACAGGCCCATCAGGAGCCCGGTGTTACTTTCTCACCTTCCATTAGCTTCTTGAGGGCAGGAGCCATGGCCAGCTTTATACTCTGTCGGCCATATTGAGCAGAGGACCCAGAGTAAAGCCAGTTTCAAAATAGGGTTCCTTGTGACTGGGGGAAGGTTGGCTCTTTCCTGAACACGCTGTGCTTTTTGTCTTGCTCTTCCTCCTCCGCAGACGCCTTTCCTGTGGGCCCCCTTCCTCCAGCCTGTCTCCCTCAGACACCCACACGCCTCGATGGGCCTCCACCTGCTCTTTTGTGCAGGTTGGTTTCATAGGTTCCCACATGCTCATTGCAGGCGTTGTCACTGAAGCCTGTGCTTCCTGCCTGCAGGGACTGTGTCTCTATCACCCCTGACTCTCCAGGCACCAACAATGCAAGAACGGTGGTACCGTTGCCCGAGTAAATTAGGCCTGCCAGGTTCAGATGAGGCCGTTTAACCTGCAGCTACAGTTTCACTGAACTTTGAGCTGCGTGACAGCTCAGGGCCAGACAGGAAGTGCACAGTGAGCAATTCAACAGATCTGGGTGTGACTCCCCTAATGGTCTACGTATTAGCAATGCTCCTGGGTACCCAGCTTCACCCCTGAGCCACAGTGTCTCCATCTGAGAGATGGGAATACTTTTGTCATGGAGGTGTAGTGGGGATTAAATGACAGGATTGAAAGATTTGACACACAGTAGGTATGTGTCTGACACATGGATCCTGGCTCCCAGCGTAGGTTTCACTTGTAGAGCTGTATTTGATTCTTCCTTTCAAAAGGCCCTCCCACCCCCTTCCCTTAAGCTCTCAGAGCAGGGAGCTGCTTTCTACAAAAGCGTCCCCTACAGCTCTGGGGAAAATTCCCTGTGTCCGTTATCTACTGAAATCTGACCCAATCCATGGTTGAGTAAAAAATATTTTGTGTAAGGAGAGGACTGGCAGTAATGGGAGAAAAGGACCCTGCTGGCAGCCTGCCTGCTGTGCCAAAGCAGCGGACTTGGGGACCAGAGCAGAACAAGGCTTGTGACAGTGCTTTGAAGGGTAGCACACCGGGTCCATTCATAAAGGCCGCTGCTTCCGTCACAAGTCCGAGTGGGCTCCCTTCCCGTTTGCTGTGTGCCCAGCTGGGACAGCTGCTCTCAAAGGAAAGCTCAGCCTGACTTGTCACCTGCGTTCTTTCATTTGTTCTGCCTGCCATCCATCTTCTGAGTAAGGAAGCAAGAGATTGAAGTTTCACTTGAGTGAGGTCACAGCTGACAAGTATAAATCCAGTTTTGTCACAGGGATACAACATTTCAGTACTTCTGCCCTCCTCCTTTCTGAGCCATCTTTTCTTTCAACTCCTTTGGAGAAGCAGAGAACAAAGAATAAAACCAGTTCTCGTTCCGCTAGTCCTGAGGATGGTGTCAGGGGTTTGGGTGACAGCAGGAGGCGAGTTCTCGGCTCTTGCATTAAAGATTAGGAGCTACGTCGACTTTTGGTTTGTTTTAAACGACCATTCTGGAACCTTAGAGCCGTGGTCCTCGAAGTGTGGTCTCGGGGACCAGCAGCAGCAGCATCAGCTGGAATTTGTTAGAAACGTAAGATCTTGAGCCCACCCGGGCCTGCTGGATCAGCTCGGGGCTGGGCCCGGTAACCCACTCACAGGCCCTCCAGGGCCTTCTGGCATCTGAACTGCTTAGCTAATGCCGTGGCGAGTTACGTGACAGCCAGCGTCCTGCCTGGGACGTGGTCAGAGCTTAGGAGCAGGTGGTCGTGTAGTCTGTGGGACAGACAGGGCTGGGAGGTGGGGCGCCTGAGAGCCTCACATTCGGGCTTTCCCACTTTCATCAATTCAAGCTATTCGTGTAGTGTCTTCATCTCTTGTCAGTGTGGATGGTACATACCTGATAGGGTGGAGACAACAAACCCCTCCCTTCAAATAGTTCCTTACCTATCAGATCAACAGCGTTTCAGCAACTTCTTCCCCAAAAGAGTAAGGTTGGGTGTGCGACTCCCCGGCTCTGCTCAGGTGCCTCCTTGCCTCTCTTGAACAGGTGGAGGAAGGAGAGGCCAGTGTCCCCTCCCCGGCCATGACCCTGTCATCGGCCATTGACAGCACGGACAAGGTCCCCGTGGTGAAGGCGAAAGCTACCCGTGTCATCATGAATTCTCTGATCACAAGTAAGCACCCTGCACCCTCAGAATTAGAGTGGAGTAGGGGCGGGAAGAGTTCAGGGGTTCTGCAAATGCACCTGCCTGATAGCCTGTCCTGAGCACGCGAGGCAGATGTCAGCTTGGCTGCCAGTTGCCAGTGTTGAAGCCAAACACTGGGCGTCTCAGTGGACTTAGGTGCACTCCTGCTGTCTGCTGATGCGGTCTTACTCCCCGCATCCATCAGTGTGGCCTGGGCCATGTTACTCAGAGACTGCTTTCCCTAATGAAACGGGGAGACTGGCTGGCAGCTGCAGGGAGGGTTAGATGACTCTGTGATCAGTGGCTGCAAGCTGCTGCTGGAGAAGGCGACACTTGGAGGCATCCCCCACCTGCCCTGTATTTAATTTATTTATTTAAATGGCAAAGTTGTTTCCCTTCCTGGACCTTGAGGAAAGTTCTTTGCCTCAAGCGCCTTTAGCCTTATGGATTTGTGTAATTTCTGGTCCAATTGAGATCGCAAAAAAGAGAGCTTGCATTTTTTTTTTTAAACCTTGATTCTGGAGGTCTCTGGTTGCTGTGGGAAGTTAACAGTTATTAGCCACACAGCTCTGCTTGTCAACAGCAGCCACTGCTGGGGACAGGCACATAGAGCTTCTAGGTGGCTCAGTTTCAAAGTCAGAAGCCCTAGTTTATCTGTTCTGGGAGGACATGTTTGTCAGGGGCAATTCCTGGAGAATTCACCCAAGAACCAGAAGTCCAGGCTCTCCTTGGACTTTGTCTTATTCACATGTAAATGCACCATTTGAATCAGCACCTTCTGCTGTGTTTTGCAAGCTTGAGAATGTGTTCTGACAGTGTTAGAAAGAAGCCTGTCACTGTTCTTTTAGCACGATATAACTTCTTTATTGCAAATACAGTGCCAACGCTACAGAACATTCTAACACCCCAGTATGCTGCTGTCGCTCAGATACTTGGCTTCTTCGCTTTCACTTGTGTGCATATTTTTATACAATTGCAGATATGGTAGACATACCATTTTTTTTCAGTTAATACTGCCATGAACTTTTGATGTTGTTACAGTCTGATATTTTAAAAAAAAAAATAGCTGCATTTGAAACCCTGGTGTTGGTGTGCTGTGTGCGTTAAGTCCTTTCCTGCCTTTTCAGTTTCCAGTTGGCTACTTGGTAAAACTGGAAAACACCTTCATATGTTTACTTTTTTTTTCTTCCTTGTGCTTCTATTTCTGATGGAAATTAACTAGTGCCTTCAAAAGGAGTGTCATAAAGGACATCTGATATCTAGACTTTTGGTCCACAGCTGTCAGTCATTCCACAGTATTTGATTACGAGGTGAGCGGGTCAGACTGATCTAACCTTGAGCTGTCTGTCTGCTGTGCCAGGTACCCTGGGAGGCATTTGCACACACGACAAACCTTGGCTCAGTAGACCTGGGCTAGTTCAAGGCACGTTCTCTGTGGTCTGGATCTAATTGGTACTTGGCACCATCCAGCCAAAATGAAAGGTGGCCTGTTTCTCTTTGGTGACGGTCATGAAGGTGGTGCGTCTTTCTTAGGAAACTGTATTTGTAGAACTTGTGACTGTTTCTAAATGTCAGCTGGCTTCTCCACATTGCATTTCTAAATATAAAGAGAATGTCACAGTGTACAAATAAGAGGCAGGTAAGGGGTGTCCCTGAAGGTCATGTAGTGCCCCTTCAGGAGTGCCGTGTGGTGTGAGGGAAGGCTTCTTTCTGGCTAGAAGTTCAGAATTTCTGCTGGTCCGGGGGAACCCTCCTCCTCCATGGTCAGTGTGGTCTCTTGCTTCCGGGGAGAACAGCGGATATTTGCGTTGTCTGCCCTGGCTGTGATGGAAGGGCATGGGCATGACCATCGTCTCCTCTGTTCCCAGAACAGACCCAGGAGAGCATTCAACGCTTTGAGCAGCAGGCAGGGCTGAGAGGTGCCGGCTACACACCCCACAGGGGCCTCACCACCGAGGAGACCAAGTACCTTCGAGTAGCAGAAGCACTCCACGTAAGCTTGTTTCTTTAGGAACTTTGGAAACACAAAACCCTCGCCTGTCATAGCCTGAGATGTGGCTGGGGTTTAGAAGTTGCCAGCTCAGCTCTTGGGTTGTTGGAAAAGTCATGACGCATTTTTGCAACGAAAAACAGAAAAAATACATCATGACTTTTCTGACAACCCAGTAGTTGGGGTTGTGCAGAGTGATGGGGAGAGCTCTGGGAAGGGGTTTAGAACTGCTTCAGCCCCACCTGGGGGGCCCTTCCTGGCTGGAGGCCCCGGAGCTCTCTGCCCTGTAGGTCCTGCTTCTCTGCCTATGAAGTGGGGGTGTCTGGTCAGGAGGATGAAGTGCCCCCTGCACTTATACATGTGACGTGCGTGAGCACGTCATGAACAGGAAAGCCGGTGTAGATCAATCCCTTCGTGTACCAGAGGGGTCAACAGGGTGGGGGGAGAGGAGCATCGGGCAGTCGCAGCAGCGGTGACACTTCAGCTGGAAAGGAGTGTCGTGCTGTGTGTGTAATTTTTTCAAAACTAAAAGCAAATGTAGAATTGGAATGTTTTTAGCTCTCTTACTTCTAAAATTGGAGTAAATGAAGAGTAATTTTTGTTAGGGTTAATGCTGACCAAATAGTATATGAATAAAATAATTCCAAATTACTTCATTTCAGGGACGACCACATTATACTTAATAGTGCTTATGATTTAGGAATCACTCCCATTCACTTAGTCTTTGTATTAATCCTTTGAGGTGGATACTACTCTCGGCGCTTCGTAAATGAAGGCTGAGGTCCAGGGTCATGTATTGAACCAGTCGTAGCACCTGCACTCGTCTCCCGATGCTTCCTGCTGTTTCTGCCCCTCTATATTCCAAAGCTGTCTGAGAACGTGGCTTTTGAAGAGGTTCAAAGGGTCACGACATAGGATACCTGGAAGGAGGACTAGTGGGCGCTGGTGGCCTGTGGGTAGAGATGTAAGACACCGTGGACTGTTGCATTTCGTAATAAGCATCCCAGATGTCTTTTGCCCGAAGCTGAGTTTAAAAATCACTGCTGTGGGGGATCAGAGTTGGGTTGATGGTGTTTAAGCTCTCAGACAAGACAGATGCTTCCGGAAAGGGCCACTGTCGGTCTCTGACACAGAACCTTCCAGGATAGGTGTCAGTCAGAATTCCGGTTGAGCAGTTCACCCTGCATCATGGTAGAACTAACTTTGGCCCCTTTCCTGCATCTTGGCCACAGGATTAGAACATATGGATGGCAGAAATGCCAGCTTACACAAATTGACATGTTGCATCTCTGAGAAAATTCAGTCATGGCCATTTGTTTGGAGCTGAGCATTGGCAGACTAGACATGGAGCATAGAGGCAGTGTGGGAGCCTCGATGGAGAACTGGGAGGTAGATTTGTCCCTCCCCCAGCACACCGCGAGTCTGTACGTTAGAGGTAGGCTTACAGTGCAAAGGGAACCCAGAGTGACTGGTTACAGGCAGGAAAAGGGAGAATGGGACGGACTCTACAGAGCATGCGTGTAGCTGGAGTCTTGGCTTTGAGAGCCTGGCAGTGGCAGGAGAGGCAGCAAGGGAGGCGTTCCAGGCTCGACTTCAAAGACCGAGAGGGGCTGCAGCTTGAGTTCTGGCTCTCCCACCTCCTGGCTGGTAACGGGGGGAAAATTAAAATCTCCAGTGTGGCATTTAGGACAGAGATGTTTGAGATATGTTGTAGAACGAATACTTTTTTTTGAAAGATGGAATTCTATCTAGTATGGCAAAATCCAAGGAATATCTGTTCTATACTCCAAAATTATTCCACCTGTTAATGTTTTCCTTTTGTTGGTATGAAGCAGGTTGTTTATACCCAAACTTAGCTGTTGTGCATTGGCCTGGAGGTTTAATGTCTCTCTCACCTGTCTGAACAGAAGCTGAAGCTACAGAGTGGAGAGGTAGCGAGGGAGGAGGAGCTGCCGGCCTCGGCCCAGTCCACCCCCAGCACCAGCCCCCACTCCTCCCCTAAGCAGAAGCCCAGGTGAGTCCTTCCTGTGAGCGCAGTGTGCTAACGGAGGGCTAGTGCTGCGTCCAAAACGGGGCTCACGCCGGCGGTTCCAGAGCGAGCAGGGGGAGTTGACAGCTCCTAGTCTTTCGGCGCGAGACACTTCTAGAGGTGTAGGAAGAGGCTATATTAGGATATGTTGCATTCTTTCTCTGCCAGAGGCTGGTTCTCTTCTGGCTCGTCTACAGCCTTACCTGGCCCAAATCTTAGCACCATGGATTCTGGAAGCGGAGATAAAGACAGAAACTCGGCAGATAAATGGAGCCTCTTTGGACCAAGAACCCTCCAGAAGTCTGATTCGGGTAAGGCAGCTCCTTCAGAAGAGAAAACGGTGTGGCAGGCGTTTTACCATGTGTATCGGGAGCTGCCCACTGATTTTGAAATCGTTTGCTCTGGTTTATTTCTGTAGGAGGCTTTGCCACCCAGGCCTACAAAGGCGCCCAGAAACCTTCTCCAATGGAACTGATCCGCGCACAGGCCACCCGCATGGCTGAAAGTCCAGCAACCTTCCAGCCGCCCAAGATGGACCTCCCAGTGATGGAAGGGAAGAAACAACCGCCACGGACCCATAATATCAAACCCCGTGACTTGAATGTGCTCACACCCACTGGCTTCTAGAGCTTTCTCTTCCAGGGATTCTGGATAAGTGGGTGTCTGGCACCTGCTTCCCTTTCACCTTGGCTTTGACATAGGAAAGGTTTTGGTTTTCTTTTTGTTGTTTTGTTTTTTCAAAACCTCTTAATCCGAGGCTAGAGCTGGAGACATAATTGGTTTTTGAGAAACATTAGTGCAAAGCTTGTCCTTGTGGAAGAAGCCATTGTGTGTTGCTTTAATTCAACGTTAGACTCAGTAATCTCAGCAGTGACGTATGTGGCCTCATTACGATTTTGGTATCATTCAGCCTAGACAAGAACTGTGATCACTGCTTACTAGGTAACTAGTGTCTGTGCTATGCCCAGCTGAGGCCTCTTGATCCCTTTACTACGTCAGCGCGAGCACGGACAGGTCATAGCGCAGAGGTGCTCACTGACCATCCTGGGCCCTCAACAGTGCCGTGCTGTGCGTTCCAGCCTTGTCAGTCGGGGGACCTGCGACCTGTTTGCCATCTGGGCCCAGTTCAAAGCCAGACTTGGCAAGGGCCTCTCCCCTGCCTCCTGGCAGAGCCTCCGGGCCTGCAGTACCTCTGTCACAAGCCCTGCATAACTTCTGTTGCACTTTTAAAGTGAGGTTAATTTGACTCCAGTTTGGTTGAAAACTTTCTAAGGCAGAAATTCAACCTACTGGTTTGGTCTACATAAATGGATGTTAAACTCTTTTAAAAAGAAGGTGGGAACGATACGTAGATACGTAGTCTTGAGGTTCATGTGAATGAAGCCTGCATCACCCTGTTCTGATTTCCTTGTTTGGGCCAGGGCCTGAGAGGTGGGAGAAGGAAAAACTTCCTATATGCAATCTTGTCCCCCAAGATGAGCCTCACACCTGTATAAACACACAGCTGCCTGAGGACAGGAACCAGGGGCCTCACCTGTTCATCACTTCCCTGTTGGCTGTGCTCCGTCATTGTCCTGAACAGTTTCGAGTCCCCCGTTTTTGCTTTGGACAGGATTGTGTCTACATAAGAGCGGAGCTGGCCTTTTCATAGGGAGGCGCTGGAGCCTCAAATGATCGGAACAATTAATTTATTTGTCTTGTTATGCTGGTACTTACTTGTTTTGACAATAAAAATCCATACCACTTTCTCAAATGTGGGTGGCTGTTTTCTTTGCCCTGTTAAGAGTAGTTATTCCATTCTGCTACTCAGTCATGGAGCCTAAGCATGGTAAAGTTGGTATTTTGAAAAACCATTGCCTTTTATTATATCTTCTTGACATCATATTTTTTGGTAACATACTCATCCTTTTGTTTCTAACCCACCCCCCCACCCGACCCCCATTACATTAAATCTTAATACACTGGCCACAAAATCAAGTTGATAGGCAGTATAACAGGTCTAATACCAATGTCTGTTCCATGAGGGAGAAATGAAGACGTCTTTCTCTTTCGACACAGGTCATCAGTACCTTGAGTAACGTAACGCTGACATCTTAGAATTTGTTCAGCAGAAGGATTCTTTTTTCACATATTGAGTGGAAATGTTAAACATAAGTGCATATAGTAGTACCTGTTTCAAAAAAAGTATAGATAAATAATTTATTTTGAAAATCTATACACCTTATATCCTTAAGCCATATTTCAGAATAGGCTAGGATAGGATTATTAAAAAAACAAAACAAGACATTTACTAAAGAGAAAGTTATAACCTACAGATAAATAAGCTAGGTTTGGTCCTATACGATCTCGAACTACTTTTTAAGGTTTTAGAATTTCCAGGTAGTTGCAGATAGAGTTAGGAGGCATTCTTGGTGTTCAGAAGGACCTCAGGGGCTGCTCCAGTTCTCCAGGGGGCAGCTCTGTGTCAGGGTTCAAGTCCGCGGCGTAGAAGAGCAGGAGCTTCAGCAAGTGCACTTTGTTTTGGAGCTGGGGGACCAGAGGCTCCCCCAGCATCTGGACCAGGCGGCTGCGGAAGGCCTCAATCTGCTTCTCCACGTCCACCACGGTGATGTCGTCGCCTTGCTGGGGCTTGGGCTTAATCCTTTTGATGATCAAGTCTTTTCGATCGATCACCGAACTCCGTAAGTGCTCTGCAAGAGGGAAAGGGTCAGTGGGACTGTCCTCAACTGCTTTTCAGTTCTTTAGGATTTAAGAAGTCCCACTTTAGAAGGGAAGGTCTGGGCAAAGGCTGGTTGCCTAGTTACTGGGATACAAGTCAAAGGCCGCGTGAGGACCTGTGGTAACTCCATTTCCAAAAGGTCCTTTGTGTTCTTGGTTTGCTCTGGTCTTTAAGTTCTTCATGTTAAAAAAAAAAGTTATATTCCATGTGTTTTTTCCCTTTGTTGATTTAAACAGTGAATCTATATTAAACAATGAAACTATTTAAAATCAATATAACTACTTGAAAAATATGTGAATTTTGAATACCTTCAGGGAGATTTCCTAAGTATGAAAGAATTGCAAAGAAATATTGAACTTTTACTTAATAAGTTCGTTGGTTTTGGTTTATTGTAGTAATTCTGTTTAAATGGAACCATTTTGTATGTATTGTACGATAGACCAAATGAGTAAATATATTTGTTTTTCAGAGCAAGGGTTCTCATTATCAGTTACGGAATAGGAAGAGGAAAAATTCTGTGGGCGTGGAAACAGGTATCAGTATGAATTTGTATTTTTTTTTAATTATGTAATTTACTGGCTCTGGTGTCAGATGGGGCCAGGAAGCAGACACTCCAGTAGCAACCACATACTTAACATCTAGATCTTGGCTTCTAATACTATTCCCCACTCCCACTAAGAAATCAGAATTTTGGGGGGAATGAAGGCTGATTCTAGGAAATTACAAGGTGAACCAAGAACATCTTTACAGGGAAGTAAGGGAATGCTTAAAAACTGATGGGGACGTGTCTCAAGGACAAAGAAGCCAGCTTGAAGGGGGCTCCTGTTGGCTACATTTTGGACATTGTGATCATAAAAATGACAAAAATGGATTCTAACACACTGAATTTTAAAAAGTCTCAAGTTCATGGTAAAAAAAAAGGGGGGGGGCGGGGAGGAAGAAGGAAAAGGTCCTTTTTTCCAGGAGAAGGCCATTTAAGAATTGTAGAAGGAATGTGTAACTAGAAAGTAACCACTTCTAAATCTACTGATATAATGAGCGATTCAGGTAAGAACCATTACTGGATGTTAAAACCATTGAGGGAAACAAGATACTCCGTGAACAAGATACTCAGGCTCAAAGTTCTACCCTCTGGATTACTCACTAATAACAAAGAACAATAGAGAAATCTGATAGCTACGACCTTAGCCAAGTGGTCAAACTTAACATCACCAGTAATGGGACATCATGCACTGCGGCAGGAGGGCACGTCGTCATCCCGTCAGTGTCTTTGCCAATAGGATTTACCATGAATCTGATCACAAGGAAATGATTAGACAACACCAATTATGGACATTTTGTGACATAACTGGCCTGGACTCTTCAAAAATGTCTGTATTATGAAAGACAAGGCTGGGAGCTGTGCTATCAATAGATCAAAGGAGACCAAAGTGCTACCCACCAAGCACAATGCATGACGATTGACTGAATCCTGGCTCAAAACAAAACCAGCACCTAGAAAGGCTGTTGGGACATAGGAGATGATTGAGGAAAAATTTTTTGAGTGTGGTAATGAACGGTGGTATGTAGTAGAATATCCTTGTTCTTAAGCTGAAGTATTTTATTTAGCATGAGGACTATGATAGTACAAATCACTCTCCACTGGTTCAGAAAATAAATGGGACATAAGAAAAGTATACAGATGAATCAAGAGATAAACCAAATGTGGCAAAATGTTAACAGCTGGTAAATCAACATAAAGGGTATATGGGTGTTCATTATCCTGCTCTTTCAACTTCTCTGTAGGTTCAAAACTGTAAATATTGAGGGAAAGTAAAAGAAGTTATAAGCATCTGTCATCCCAAATCCAGAGACCTGCCTCAGCAAGGTTCTGGAAGTGTGTGGAGTTGAGACAAAGGAGCACGAGGTCACATATAAGGAAATAAATGGATGGAGAAGAGCCCTGAGGACGGGGCGACCCCCAGCTGCACCCGACTGCACTTAGCACCGTTTCTCAGTCTCCTCGTTTATAAAAGGGACTATGGCGCTTCATTAGCAGGTCATTACGACTGAACTATACAGTGTCCACAATTTGCGAAACAGAATAAACTTATTTTTAAGCACTGTATTCAGTTACATTTTCAAATAATATGCTCAATGTGTTTTTCCTCAGCCTTTAGATATCTTTTCAGGTAAATTCCCTCTAAATTCATAGCAATGGGTCTAACTGTAATCTGAAAAAAAGTACAATAAATACAGTAAAACCTTGGATTGCGAGTAACTTGGTTTGCAAGTGTTCCACAAGACGAGCAAACATTTCTAATACATTTTAATGTGGTAAACGAGTGATGTCTTGCAATACGAGTAGTTTGTTTCCGGAACAAGTTATGCTCGCAAACCAAGGTATTACTGTACATTACAAAGTGTCCAAAACGTCTGGAAACATAGGAAGCAAAGCTGCCTTGAGATGCCATTACAGGGCCCTTTCAACATTCAATTGACAAAAACTTACAGTGAGCACCTACTATGTACCTGGAACCGACTAGACTCGGGATACAGTGGCATCAGGGACTCGGGCCCAGCTGTCATAGACTGACATTCTCGTCACAGGAAGCCGGACAGTAAACAAGCCAACACAACAATTATGGATTTGGTGAGTAACACATTAGATGCTGTGCTAACAGTAACGTTGCGGGGGATGAGGGAAGCCGCCCACGCCAGTCAGGAAGGGCCTCGTGCTGAGTCAGGGAGGATGAGAGAGGCAGCCGTACCATGGTTTGGGGGAAGCAGTCGGGCAGGGAGAATGGCAAGTGCAGATGCCCCGAGGCAGGGCAAGCTTGTTTGGGGAACTAGAGGTAAACACCGGGCAGTAAGAGGTAGTGAGGGAGCCGCACTAGATGTGACCGGAGAGGAGGCTGGGCCACACATCAAATGGAAGGCTCTGGGGTGGTTAACTAGGGGCAGGTGTTCCAGTTCACTCTGCCACCAGTGGAGAAGGGTCCCAGGGACAAAAGCCTTTTAGTAGAATTCGTTTGTTTTCTTAAACAAGGCATGTGCTACTCTGAAAAATATAAAAAAGATTTTGAAAAAATGGAATCGGCTAAATAGTGAGATAGGGATGACTTGGGGTGGGGCCAACAAGAGCTTGCAGTTTATTAAAAGAAGACAGGAAATTCAAAGAAGCAAATGTTGGCAGTGCCCATCGAAGCACTGTCCAAGGGGGAGGAAGTCTTGGCCAGTGAACTTGAGACATCTGGTCCCGTTGGCAAGGCCTTGGACTTGATGCTTCAGTAGGGACAAGAATTCTTACAGCAGCGGTGGCTGCGATAACCGTGAGGTGGTTGATAAAAAGGGTTTAGCACAATGCCTGGCTCAAGATATTTTGTCTGTGTTTCCTGGGTCAATACTAGGGTTAGCTGTTATCACTTTATCATCATCATCCTCACTGTAGGAATCTCCACCCTACCAGTCACCCTGAGCCCTTTATCTTCCTTGCAGATCTTTTGCTCCATTCACCTGCATGTCAGTCACGGCAGAACCCTGGGTGTCATCCTTCAGATTCCATCACCCAAGTCCTGGCTGACTGATGTTGACAGTGCGCTGTCCCTCCCCACTGCATGACCCACCCCCTCGGTACCATTATGCCTCCCTGACCTCTCTGGTCCTCCCCAAGCCATTGGCCACACACTGGGGAGAGCAACCTGACTTCAAACCACATGGATGGTTTCTCTTCCCTCTTGGAGCCGAGTTGAAATTCCGTCACCTGGCCCGGAGGCCCTTCGCGTCCTAGCCTATCCGCTCTTCTAGCCTCCTCTCCAGCTGTTCTTCCCTTGCTCACTACATCCCAGTCCGACTAGCTTGTTCTATGCTCCTTGGACTTGCTAAGCAACTTGCTGCCTCAAGGCCCTTGGACCTGCTGTTTTTCTCTTTCTGGAAAACTCTGCCCTCCCTATTTGCCTGGCTAACCTCAATACTTCATATCTCAGCTGAAGTGTCACTTTTTCAGACCCTTCCCGGGTCCCTCCAACAATAGAGTGGGTCCTCCTATTTTGTGCACTTGTACTTTCCTTCACAGCATTTATTTTAACAGGGATTATATGTTATTTGAGGGATTGTTTGTTTAGGGGCAGTCTCCCCTAGATGGGAAGCTCTGTGAGGGCAGGGCAGGGCCGTGTTGGTCTTACTCACTGACATTTGCCCAATGAGCCAGGCCCAGGGAAGACGTTCGGTAAATATTCACTGCCTGGATGAGTGTAAGAAGTGACCTGATCTTGTGAGCACCTGCTTCTCCCTCTGTGGACAGGGCTCTTTGCAGGAAGGCTGTGTGTGTGACTCCTCGGAATGAACTGGCGTCGGACTTCTGGGGGCCACCTGTCTGAGCTGTGCTGCACAGTGGGGTTCAGGTAAGTCATGCCTTTTGTTCATTTAAAAAGTGTATGTTTGGGCCGGCCGAGTGGCTCAGTTGGTTAAGAGCTCGCTCAAGAGTTTGAGCTCTGAGCAACAGCGGTTCGAGTCCCGGCCTGAGCTGAGCAGCCGCTGAGCTGCCAACAGGTGGCAGGATGGCTCAGCTAAAAAAACGGGAAAAAAAAGTGTTTGTTTAAATTCCTAGAATTCATAGTTTTAAAGTGTGAGGTTCTAGCTAGTCGCAAGCATCAGGAAAACTCACGGCACATGGCAACGTGTAATTTTGCTGAGGCTCCAACTTGAACTGCATAGCTGTGAAAGGGGTGTGGGGATGGCTTCTTTTAGCCAAAGGATGTGAGCTCAGCACACAGCCCAGCAGCCACGTCTCGTTGGGGCTGCTCTGCTCTCTATGGAAATGTGGAGGCATAGGATCGACTTTTCCTCAAGGTCAAAGGTCTGTACAAAAGTAATTTAACCATGTATAGAGAGTTTGGAAAATGGAAATTCCTTAGAATCTTACCTTCTGATCTCACCCAGTAATTTCCTAGAAAAGTAATTCCTTCTAGTGTGTTTTCATTGCGCACAGACTTTGGCAATAGACCTAGCTCTGCATTTACTTTTCTCTTGCCTTTGTTTTCCCATCTGTGAAAGGGAATGATACGCCCCTCCACAAGGTCATCAGATGATATAAGCCAGTGTATGTGAATTTACCTAGTCTTCCTTCCTCTCTCCCTCCATGCTGAGAGGCTCCCCAACTTCTTCCCTTCTTCCCCCACCCTTGGAGCTGGACAACTCAGGCTGACCTCAAAATGCCCTCTACAATGTCCTCAGACCACTTGAATAGGCAGAGATGTCTAAGGAGCCCTCACAGTAAAGTGCCCACTGACAAGGAAGGACATTGACCATTTCAGGGCACCATTCAGCTATGTTCTCTGTAGACACTGTTATCAAATTGCTGATTCTAAATATTTTTCTCCTTTTAACCCTTGGTCTCCAAAGGAACTGGGGAGAATGTCAAGGATAAAACAGTATTAGAACATAGCCCAACATAGCCCATTTATTCAATATACTAGTCTGAGGCCTTCCTCACCCTTATTCTTTTTTTTTTTTTAGCTGAGCCATCCTGCCACTTGTTGGCAGCTCAGGCGCAGCTCAGCTCAGGCGCAGCTCACTGGCCCATGTGGGAATTAGGGGCAGTCTCCCCTAGATGGGAAGCTTTGT